GGACACGGCGCAGACAGAAGTGGGGGAGGGACAGATGCTGGCAGCACCACCTGCGCTACAGGGAGAGGGTCTCTGTGCCTGAGGATCTGCCGTCCCAGGTTCCCCAGGCTCTGTGAGGTGCCCAGGGGGAGGGCTGGGAGGGAGTACATGGGGGCAGGATCAGTGGCTGGTGCTCCGTCCAGACGTCCTTCACCCTCGTCACTTCTAGTCCTGGGGCTCAGGTGCAGCAGCAAAGGTCAGAGACGGGGGCAGCACGGGCTCAGGTGCGTCCCGTCCCAAGCCTTCAGCAGCTGGGCGCACGGGCGACCCTACAGCTAGGCGAAGGGCACAGCCCACGGCCGTCTTAGGAAACTGAATCCAGCGTAAAGGGGCCAGCAGACCGGTTGGCCATTCTCAGGACTGCTCTGCTGCTCTGGGCAACTGGGAGCAGAGAGGTCAGCCCCAGGGGTCCGTGGAGTTACGATCGTGCGTCTCTGTCCCTACGGGGGCTGACACAGCCTCTCCGGGAGCAGGCAGCCTGGCAATGGGGCACATGTGAGGCTGGGCTCCTGTCCCCCCGCCCCCGGCACCGGGAGAGCGTGGGGCTCCCACGTGCCAGGAGCCAGCTGTGGGCACCGCCACCCGGCAAACTGACAACAACCAGGAAACGGCGCGAGTCTCCGAAAATCTCAGAATGAAAACAAAACACCAACTGTGCCGGGCCACTGGCGAACCCCGACCCGAGGGGCTGAGAGCGAGCCTCCTTTTCTTTAGGGTCGCGGGCAGACCGAGTCTGTGCTCCGGGAACCAGGGGACTCTGCGGCGTTGACCAAGTGACCTGGCCTCATGGAGGTGACAGAGAAGGAAGGTTCCCGGGCACAAGTGAGAAATCACGGAGGAAGGAGGGCGTCTGACCACGGGCGGTAAGTCAGGGGGGAGAGACAGAAAGGAGCCAGTCGTGGACTCTGACCCGCAATCCCGAGGGGACACGTTCAGCCAAAAATGATGACTCTGGAAAAGAGGGGAAGAAAGTTTCCAGAAAGGAACCGTCAGTAAGCTGGTAAGGAAGGGAGTGTGCGGTCGGTGACTGGACAGAAGGGCGGTTCCAGTCTCCAGCTGCCACTGAGGGAAAGACCCGCGCGGAAAGGGCAGTGGAGCTCCTCGTAGACGACAGTCAGGAGGCAGAAAAGAAGGAATTCCCCGGAAGAGGACAACGAAGGTCACGGAGGGTTCTCCAGACCCAGGTGGCAGCAAGGACGAGTCTGAAGAAAGGCTCCGGGAGAAGCGGCAGCTCTCGTGACTGGCCACAGTCTCCCGTCGCGGGTCGTAGGTCCGGGCGAACTTGGAGGATGGGAGCGGGGGGCCGGCTGCCCTAAGTGATGGCCTATAGCCACAGAGCTGTCCGCTCACGGGCGACTCGCCGACGGACGGAAGAATCCTGGCCAAATGGTGGCCCGTGACAGAGAACACGGGTTTCCAATCACGAATGGGACCTCACTCGACAGAGAAGCTTTCTGGTCCTAAGTGAGAACTCACAGGAGAGAGGTCACATCTGTGCTAAGTCATAGGTCTCGGCCCTGTGGGCTGCGGGGACAAGAGGGACAAGGGAGCATGGCACTCAGGCTGCTTGCTGTGCCTCGAGAGCCAGAGACCTCCCTCTCCCACCCAGGAGTCTTGAGTTTCCCGCCAGCATCCACGAAACGTGTCTGCTCTTAACTGACCCCGGAGTGGTTGAAGGGACCAGGCCTTTCTCCTGACAGCGGCTCTGCCAATGGGCTCCTCACCCCAGCGGCCCCGTTGGCTGACAAAGCCCAAACCATGGAGTCTTCTTGGCATCGGAAGGCATCCATGCCCAGTCCTGCTTCCTCCCCGATGGGGTGCCCCTGCCTGTGGGGGACGGCGCTCAGCCGGCAGGGACAGAGGCGGCCGTGTCACCTGCACTTGCGCCGCGGGAGGCACCGGCCAGAGCCATCCGTGAAGTGCTTGGAGGAAGGACAAACGCAAGGACAGGGGCATGGGGGGGTCATTACTAAGGTGTGGGGGTGTCCTGCATGCAGAAGGGAGAGCTCAGAGCGCCGACAGCAACTGCGGAGGAGCCCGAGGCCCGGAGAGTGTCCGGACGCTCAGGAAAGCACAGCTCGCGCGGCAGAGCGCAGAATCCTGTGGTCAAGCAGCTGGACTCCACACAGCTGAGTGTTCTGTTGAGACAACAACGCTCGGGGCCCGGGGGGGCGTCCCAGACCGTGACCCGGGACAGCGCATCTGCGTGAACGGCCCCGGCTGAAACTCCCCAGGCTCGTCGGGCCTTCTGAGCCAGCAGCAGTGGCCCCGGAACTAGGGTGAAACGGCACAAGCCAGCTGGAGAACTGCCGGGCCCCCGGGGGAGGGCAGACATCACACCCTGCTGAGGGAGCCGGTGGGCCGGACTCCGGGATATCACTGGAGGGCAGGAGGCAAGGACAGGTCTGTGACTCAGGACTTCCCGGTGCGTCCTCGGGACCCGGGGCTGCATCTCCCAGCAAAGAGCCAGGGATGAGCAAACCCACTGCGCCGGAGCCCTTAGAGGCCTGGAGAGGCCGAGCGGGGCCACTTAGAGCCACGGCAGCCAGGGAAGGGGTAGGGGGCCCCAGGCCTGTGCCGGGAGGGGCCGAGCGCTCACAGGAGCCACCGGCATCTCCCAGCTGTGTGTGTCGTTGGGAAGGAAACAGCACGTTCTACGTGGGGCCCCTGCGCAGCGGGGAGGCTGGAGAAAACCTCAGAATTGACCCCCCACCCCAACAGTTTACTGAAACCAACAGCATGTGGTAGGGAAGGGCACAGCGGAGTGACCGTCCCCTCTGTCCATTCACTGCCTGGTCCTTTCAAGGCCAGAACCCTGTGGTGACTGTGGACTCCCTCGGGCTTGGCCAAGTGGTGGCCCCGCTGGCCTGGTCCCCACAGCTGTGTCAGGCATGGTGTCATGCCTACAGTGGTCCGTGGTGCCTCAGGTCCACAGGTCATGTCCCCTGACTTGGAGGACTCTGAAGAAGCCCCGGAAGGTGGTCACACACACGCTGCCTTGCCGGTGTGGTGGCCCCCTTCCACGTTCAATGTCACAGCCCCCGTGGGCTCCTGGGGACAGCACTCGGCCTGTTTCACCCGTGAAGAGTGGGCTGCCTGGCAGGTCAGCCCTCTCCCAGCCTGCCCCGCGCCCGCGCCCACGGGAGCACCTAGTCACGCTCAGCGAGAAGCACCCTGGGGGGGTGGTTGGCCACCGCTCACAAGTGCCCATGAGAGCCTGTGCTGGGGAGGAGCCCAGGGCCTGTGTCCCCTGTGAGGGGGCCAGGTGTGACCCCTCCTCACACCCTGGCCACCCATCTCCAGCGGGGCCCTCGGGATGGCCAGGTGGGTGGGCCCACGGCCCTTCTCGTATGCGCGCCGGGTGAACTAGGCCCCGAGGAGGCGCGACAGGCTGAGAGCACCCGGGCTCCCGTGGCCCTTCCCCACGCACACCCTGAGGCACAGACATGCCCCGTGTGTCCAGGGGCATGTCTGTGCCTCGGGCTGTACAGGGCGCACGGGGAGGTCGAGGGAGGGGCCACCGGGCCTGGCAGGGTTGACGGCCTCTGCTAAGCACTAGGTCTGCCCTGTGGGGGGGGGGGGGGCCCGCCTGTCCCTCCGCACGGGGCAGTGCTGCCCTCTAGTGGCCCACGGGCAACACAGCAGAGGCCCCCAGCAACCCCACTTCCTGGGAAATGGGTGTTGGTCCGGTGGACTTCCCCACCCTTAGAGCTTGTCCTCTGCCCGCAGGGCCTGGCTCTAGGGCCGCACCCCACCTAGTCTGTCCCTCTAGGCTTCTCCTCCCCCGCCTGTCTCCCTCACCCTGTTTTTCCACCCGTCGGCACCAGCCTGGTCCCTGCCCCTTCCTTCCATCTGGGCACCTGGATATCAGGCATTTCAGTAGCAAACTCACGAGATGAAGTTGTCTCAGGGTCCCCCAGTCCCGGGAGTGGTGCTCCCCTCTTCTCCCGACCCTGGTGGCCGCAGACTCCACTTCTACCCCCACTGCAGGTTTTCAGGGAAACCACAGACTCAGGCTCTGGTCTCCAACAGCAGTGGGTCCAGGTTCCGAATCCGGCTCTTGGTGTCATTCCCACCCAACAGGACAGTCGTTCTTACACCAGAGCCTGCAACAGGCTAAAAGCCAAATAATCCTATGAATAAAGTTTCAATCAAATTCAGAGCACTGGGGAGGGCTAAGAGAATGAGAACGAGAAAATTCTCGGGGAGAAGTTTTAATACTTAAGAAGTTCTGTAACAAAAGAGAACACGTTCCTGAAAAACGTATATAAACCACGAACATCAAAGCTTAGCAACAGACAGCCCCAAATACAACCCACGAGACCCAGCGATCAGCCAGGGTCCGTGGCCACCGTGACCACACTCGCGCCGCAGGAACCTCGTTGAAGGAACAAAGTGACAGGTATGAGGGCCACGTGCTGGGGCCTATGGCGGATGCCAGGGCGGTGGCCCGCGGTCACCTGGATGCTGAGGCTGCACCTTTCTCACAAATAGCACCATGGCCGATTATTGGGAAAAGTGTTCTAACTGGAACTGCTTTCTCAGTTTCTAGCACATAGGGACAGGATTTCTTTAGTCATTGGCCTCGGAAACGTGTGCAGTGCCCCGCAAAACACGGTCAGGTCAGAAAGCTGCCTCTGTCTTCAGCGAGGCCGACGTTCTTAATGCCAGGGTTACATTGTTATTTAAGGCGATAAGGTTTCCCTTTTGTTTCTTAATTACCTATGGTAAATGCCCTTTTCAAACGTTTGTCGGCATTTTCTGCCCAACGGACCAGACACAGGACGGAATGAGCACATCGGGACAGTTCTTTACCGGACAGAACGCCAATTACCACCCTTCCCAACCGTGGAAGTGACACGTAAACACAGCACACTTCTTGGAACACAACTTAGCCTCGCGGGCTTCTGGCCCTTAGACCGGGGCCAGTGCTGCTGCTCTGAGTGGACGCGTATCTCGCTGGTCGTGCTCAGAAAGCCGCGGGCGGAGGGCTCAGCTCAAATGCAAGATGAGAGCTTCTTCCTCTCTTCAAACTGCTTGTCCACCGCCAGGGACAGGGCCTGCAGGAAGCCCTCGATGGTGACAGTGGGGGCCTGGAATGAGACACGGGCACGTGGGCTGTCCTGGCTTCGGTGGGGCCACTGGCAGCACCCCCGCACGCGGACGGCAGCAGGGGTGTGGCCCCAGCACAGGGCAAGCGGGGCGCCGATGAGGGGCTGCTGTGTGCGAGCAGCCTCGGGGGGGCCAGGGAGGGCCTGGGGTGGGCTCTCCGTGACCCTGGGGGCTGTGTGAGGCCCCAGCGGGCCGAGTCCTCCTCCTACCCAGGAGCCCACTGCTTAGGCACGGAGATAAATCGGGTTCCCAGCCACATTCCGTGTGGCTCCCAGTGAGGCCACAGTCTGTCCCACAGAGAGGTGGTGGGGACAGCGGAGTGCGGGAGGCGGGGAAGCTGCGGGGACTCACCTGGACAAACAGTGCGTGAGCCAGAAAAGGGAGTTTTCTTAGGACGCGGCCGCTGAGACCCTCACTCTTCCTGTGAACGGAGCCGCATTTGGGGACAGTTTCAGGCCAGTTTCCCTCATCTCTGAAAGTCCCTTCCCTTGCGGCTGGTCTCCCCCAGTCTTCAGTGGCCGTCCTAGTGCAACCCCGGCCTCGGAGCGCACACACGACACGGCGGGCACGTGGCCTGCAGCACGGCTCCCCCAGGGACCGGGCTGGACCGCGTCAGTTTCCGTGTCAGTGTCTGAGCTGCCCTCCCTGCCCATCTCAACCAGTTTAAATCTCTTCAACAGATTATCCAAAAAATAACCTGTTCTTCAGGCTATCCCAAAGGTTCAAGACCTTCCACGAGCCTCACAGCTGCAGAATGAGGTTCAAAGCCTCTGGTCAGAACGCCCCCTGGAGACGGCCTGCCACCCGCTGGCCTCTGTGGTCAGACCCGGCCGGGGACCCCTGCACACACGGCACTGTGGCGATCCCCGTCTCTCTCCCAGTTGTCCAAATTCTGACCTTGGAGGCTCTGTTCCATCTCCCCACCTCCCTCCTCACGCTCCTGGGCACCCATGCCATCTGAGAGGTGACGGTGCTGCGGGCTGTGGCCCCTGCACGCCAGCAGCTGTCCCCACGGTGCCAGGGGCTGCCCTCCTGCCGCCCGGGGCCAGGAGCCCTGTGCTCTGCGTTACTCCCCGGAGCCCCAAGCATAGCGCTCCGAGGTCGGCACTCGGACAGAAGCTTCCACTGTGCTCTTCCTGCACGTTTGTGCAACGTGAACAAAGACCGTTTAAGGAATCACCAGTGTGTCAAGACAGCCTTAATGCGAACGTCTTGTCTTTTCAGAGAGAAGCACAGGATGGGTTTCTGTTTTCTAAAGCCGCCTCTGGGAGGGCAGCTGCCCCCCACCCTCTGGCCAGGAACCCGGGGCCGGGGTGGCGGAGGGCCCTCGAAGCCCTCCGGCACGTATGCGACACACGCCTCCGGAACCAATTCCCTGCCTGCGACCCCGCACCGCTAGCCCAGGCCGCACAGTCGGCTACAACCGCCCATCACCGCGACAGATGCGCTTCTCTGGTTACAGACATGAAGTCAACTCACACCTTGAAATTTCACTCAAAAGGAGGCTCAACTTTGACACGTTGTTTTCGATGAAGCCGATCATCTCCAGCTCCCGGAGGGTCAGCAGCTGCTGGCGAGGGTAAATGATCTGGCACTGGGGACGGAGACAGGGCGTCAGCGCCGGGCCCACGGGGCCCAGTGCACGCGGTCAGCCCCGGCGACAGTCCCCAGAGGGCGGGCAGCCAAATCCCCGCTCACAGAAACGCAGGCACAGAGGGCCCCGACACAGGCCGCTCCCTCTCGCTCACACGCGCGCCCTGCGCCCTCCAACGCAGGTGAGAACGCAAATGGCAAAACACATCTCAGAGACGGGCCGTGACCCAGCCCCTCCGTGTTCTCAGTCAGGGTGTGTCTTCACGTGTCAGGAAAGGGAGGGCCGTGGAGGGGCTGAGGCTGGTGAGGGGTTTCAGTGGTTCAGCACAGCCCCGCGGAGCAGAGTCGGGCCCAGGAACCGGGACTCGGCCTGCCTCTCAAGGACAGTCTCCGCTGGATGTCTTTAAGATCAGGCTGTCGTGTGGGGCAACGGCACAGCCCGAGGCTGGATCTGAGCCCTGAGTTCCTGCCCAGGCCCCGTGTCTGCACGCGGGACACTCTGCCAAGGGGCCGCGTTCCCAGGTCAGGGTGCTCAGTGACCACTACCAAATGACTTTGAACATGAACTCTTTCGACTCAGAAACCAGGAAAGAACACAAACGACAACGGGCCTTCTCTGTACATTCTGGAGGAGTGGTGAAGGCTGTGGGTAAATTTAAAATACAGGGTTTGGGTGGGAGGATTCTCAGCTTTCTAGGGGCACTCCCTCAGACTCCCTGCGACTGCCCCCAACCCCTCCCAGCGACACAGGCCACCCAGGCACACGCCAGAACTGCCAGGTCCTGACAGGGAACGGGCTAGTCACGAGCGACAGCCGTCAGGACTGGCCAGATCTCCGCTACGTCATCAGACATCTGAATTTCCCGTAAACCACCTAAGAAACACCCCCACCCACACGCCGAGCTCCCAGAAAGTGTGTTACGTTTGGCTAAACGTGAGAACGTCTCCTGGAGGCAAGGCCCAGTGCGAGCACAACCACTGGCAGGATCCCATCACCCTGACTTCGCAGCAGTGACGCTTTCGGGAGTTCTCTCGGAACCCCGCGTCAAAGCTCCACGGGGCCCTCCCTCTCGCCACGCCACCAAACAGCAGGATGGGCCGCAGGCGCCACGACCAGCTCTCCCACCCCCGTCACAAGCTGTGGCATCCTCGCTGAGGGCATCAGGGCATCCTCGGCGAGGCCAGGCAGCGGGAAAGCCCACCCTCACCTCCCGGTTGCAGAGACACCAGCACCACCACCACGCATGTCCCGCCTGCCGGCCGGCTCGCTCCCTGCACAATTCCCAGGCTCCACCGTGTGAGGAGTGTGAACCCCGCAGCAGGTACCGTCTGCCTTGAGCCCGCCGTGCCCATGCCAGAGCTCCTAGCACCCGGGCACGTGGCCCATCCCTGCTGAACTCGTTCACACGAGATCGACTGGTGTTATCGTGCTCACGGCTGCTCTCAGAAAACAGGACCGAAGGGACATTACCACTGCAGCCAATGCCAGCCTGTAAACGGCCACCTCCTCAGGATGAACTTCCCGGCAACTAGGACCTCCGGCCCCGATGACCTCCCTGCAAACGACGACCACCCGTCAGGTCTCCCCGTGAGCTGCGGCCTCCGGCCCGGATGACCTCCCGTGAGCTGCGGCCTCCAGTCAGGAGGTCTCCCTGTGGACCAGCACATGCCGGCAGGCCACTGCAGCCGTACCCCCGCCACTCATCGCTTGCAGGTCGGTAGACCAAACGGTCATGATTATCGTGTTGTGCCAAAAGCACAAGAGCACTGAGTCGGCGGCCACAGTTTGAACTAACAGCTCCGCCCGCCAGCAACAGCTGCAGCTTCCGGCCAGAGACCGCAGCGCCACACTCGGGGCCCTCCAGGCCACAGTGAGCGACCCTGAGCTGCGTCAGGGAGGGCAAAGCCAAGAAAACTCGGCGGCGAGAGGCGTGAGGAGACACCCAGCACCTTCATCAGCTCCTCCAAGCAGGAGAGGTAGATTTTGAAGATGGCTGCCGCAGAGGGCGGCCCGATGTACTGCCTGATGTCAGCCCTGTCCACGAAGGCCACGTCGATCCGCTCCGTGATGTTGGAAGTGGTCAGAATCACCACGTTGCAGTGCCTAAAAACAGGAGAGCGCGGGTCAGCCCCCAGCTGCCTCCGAGACTCCCTCGCGCTCTCCGTCCCGTGAAGCTTCTGGCGTTCGGCCAGCGCCCTAGCCGGCTACAGGGTCTTCCGAAGCTCGCACCTGAGAGCCTGTGGGATCCCCAACTCCCACCAGGCTCTCCTGGCTGTGACACGGTGCACCAAGCAGACCCTGTGCTCCTCAGCCTTCCAGGAAGTTCTCCTAGACTCCCACCTCCTTGTTCCCTCCCCTCCCTCTACCGTGGCGCGGTGTAACTCTGACTCGCGTGCAGAGTCCCGATGGCTGCATCAGCCTGCCGGGGCGGCCCCGGTGACCACTCTGCACGCGGCTCTCGCACCCCCGTGTGCTGCGGAGCTAAACTGCTGGTCCCCGTCACCAGCTGCTCTCCCCTTTAGCTTCTAAGCCTGTGCGAGACCACGCGGCTGCCTCATCGCTCACTGACGTGCACCAGTACAGAGCAGGCCCAAGGCACCCTGGGGAGCACACTTCCCAGGCCAGGGGCCTCAGGGGTGGGGATGCAGCAGGGCTCCCCCGGGGCCCGTGGTGGGCGCATACACAGGCTGCAGGACCTTACCTGGCCGGGGGAGCCCCTGGAAGGACCAGGTTTTACCTGGTGTTTGGCAATAGGTGCACAGCACAGGGTGAGCAGGAGTGAGCCAGGGAGGGGTGGGGAATGCAGGGGTCTTAGGAGCCCAGGGCGTCAGAACCACATAAAGGCAGGCCTAGAAAGGCCATCTTGAGGAGCCTGGACAAGGAGCGTGAAGGGGGACAGGAAAGCACGAGGGAAACCAGAGGCCCACATGTCTCCCTCCCCTCCTGAGCCCACAGCTGCTGGCAACAGGAAGAGGTTGGGCTCGAGCAATGGTTGTATGACAAAGCCGTCCTTGCAGCAGGAACCCTGGAAATGGGGGCTTCGGAGCTGAGCGACTGCTCTGGGGGGTGCTGGACACCTGGTCCAGGTGGCCCCGCAGGCCTCGGATGGGTGAGCAACAGAGGAGGGGAGAAGGCCAGGCACGGGCTGCCCAGGCTGCCTGAAGAGATGAGAGGAGAGGCCAGCGGCAGAAACTGAGGTGGTCCGGGCGTGGAGGCAGGGGAGGAACAGCCAGGGGTCAGGTGCTGTAGAAAACTCCGGAGAAAGCCCGGCCCGCCGGTGAACGCGCAGGAGCAGAAGCCGGGAGGAGGAGCACAGGCAGGGCCGGCAGCAGGGTGGGGGCACGCGGCCCCCACAGCCAGCCCCGAGAGCCGTGTCCGGCGAAGTCAGAGCCTCTCGGTGGTGGAACTACACCAAAGGCTCGGGGGAACGGCCCTTAGCGGATTCAGTTCCCCGTGAGTCCGTATGCAGCAAGCTCCCTTCCGAGCGCTGCGCTGGGGTCCAGCACCCCAGGACTGTGGGAGCTGTGAGCGCGGGGCAGCCGGCCCAATGCTGTGGAGGACGCAGAGGGGCTCTGGTCTGCGCAGCTTCCTTGGGAGGCCGCTTACTAGGAGTCAGTCCTCCAGGCGGGACCAGCTTAGGCTACACCGGCCACAGGCTCCGGTCCTGCAAGGCTGGGCTGTGCCACAGGGAGTCCGGCCCCACGAAGGGTGTCAGGCGACGCCTACCCGCCCGTCGCAGCCCCTCAGCGCCCACGAGCTTGCGCGGGCGAGTTTCACTCCGTCCCGCGCTTCTCCGCGGCACACGAGTCTCTGGCACAAGCAGGTTCTGTGCTATGACTTCAGTCATTCAAAGTCCTGAACCGCGCTGGGTCGCGGCGGCAGCCGAGCTTCCAGTCAGAGGAGCCGGAAGGAAGGTCTCGTGCGCAGGCGCCTCCCGCGCCCGCGCGGCTTCTCACGTGAGGCCCCCGGGTCAGCATTACCTCTTGATCCGGTCGATCTGGGTCAGGACGGCGTTGACCACGCGTATGGCGTCTGAAGGCTCGGTACCGGCCCTGCAGGCATTGCGGGCGGCCGTGAGGCTCTCCACCTGTGGGGGTGGGACAACAGGTGGCACAGGGCAGCGCCTGGCCCCACGGGCCGCCAGCAGCCGCACCGACCGAGCCATGGGGAGCAAGTGCAGGGGTGTGTGTGAGCCGCGGAGCCAGGAGCCGGTCGCGCGGGAGGCCGAGGCTGGGCTGGGCGGAGGCGGGGCTGAGCCAGGGCTGGGATCTGCTTCAGTCACAGGTGTGACGGCCAGATGCACGTACCTCGTCAATCAGCACAAACACCAGGGCGTCCTTGTCGTCAATCAAGTCCTGAATCTTCTGGAACATCTTTGTTACCAGCTTGCCACTCTGGAAGCAGAACACCCCTCTGGTGGCGGCTTGAGCTCCTCAGGCCGCCCGGTGCTCACACGCACCCGCGGTCCCCGCCCAGCCACGGTCTGGGCCCACCGTCTCCAGACGGCCCCAGGAGAAACCCTGAACCCAGGAAGCCAGGGCCACATGGAAAGAGGCTGACCCACATGCCACCTTGCCCTGCTCCACGCGCAGGGACAGCACGCCTGAGCCCGCACCGGCTCTGCTCCGGGCCGCCTGGCATCTCCCACTTGGCGTACTTCCTCCTTCCCCTTCCCTGCCGTCCCATGACCGGGAACAAGACGGGTCAGATGCAAACACACAGCCAGCAGACACGCGCCTTACGAGTGCTCCCTATCCTGGCTCACTGCCCGCCAGACGGATCTCCTGACACAGCGGCCCGGGCGGCGTTCCGTGCGGAGGGGCACCTACAACGTCACCTGGGCTGAGCAGCGCGATTCTAAGACAGCAAAGAGGCTCAGGGCCCTGAGGGCGTGCTCAGTGGAGGCTGTGGCCCTCGCTAGAGCTGAGTGTCTGTCCCACCTCAAAGTATGGCTGTGACCAGCCGAGGACCCTCTCAGCCTCACACCATTCCCAGGGGACCGCTTAGCTCCAGAACTTCCCTCTGACCCTGAAGTCAGCCACGCTGTCACGTGGTACCTATTTCCCACGTTCTCGGAGGAGAAAGTTGGCCCGTACAGGGGGCCCTGTCCACCCGCACGGCTGGCGAGCGTGCGCGGCAGAAGTGACGCCGACACTTACTTCCGAGAACCACTTGGAAAAGAGACTGTGGCTGTTTATTTCAATCAGCTGGCCGTACCGGTACCTGGGAGGAGAAGACAGAGTTAGGACGGTCGGTTCACAAATCGTGTACCCCGGGCAGCCGCTCCTTCTTCAGCACGGCCCGCTCACTGGTTAAGTCGCGCTACCTAGCGGGGCTCCTGGTAATCCTGAGTCCCCTCGAGACGACGCGAGGGCTCAAGTAATTATGAAAACCTACTGGCGTGCAGCCGGGGGTCCCGAGCGAAGCGAACGCAGGCTTCTGGATAACCTCTTCATTTGGATCAGAGCGAGAGTAAACTCCCTCACTTCTACCCGTAATCCACAGCCCTAACGCGGTGGGAAGAATCACCAGCAGCCACGGGGCAGGCAAGACAAATCGTACTCGTCGTGAGTCTTGGATGGAGCCAAACATGCTCTCCTCCTTCTCTAAAACCGCCATGAGCGGGACAATGTTTCCCAGCGCACCGCGGCGTCCTGAGCCCCCGAGGCAAGCTGCCCAGACGCCCCCGAGGCAAGCTCAGCACACGCGGCCGGAAACCTGCGCGCACGGGAGGCGGCGGGGGCAGAAGGGAAGCCGAGCCAGGTCCTCGGCACAACGGATCCACACGAGGAAAATCATCACGCTCAAAGCATTACACTCGCTAATTCTTTTTCCCAAAGAGGGAAGGGGAGAGACAACGTAACGAAATCAAGATCGGGTCGAATATTAGTTTAATTCTAAAGCCTTCTGACGAGATGAGCACCGAAGGCTCGCCAAGGTTTCTTTCCGCAACTTCTAAGCCAAAAACTCGACGCGCGTTTTCAGACGTGCTTCAGAGAGTGGCGCTTCTTGTAGTAACACGTTCAGCCTCCACTGTCTTAGGAAACCACCCCGAGATCTTTAAAACGCGGTGCACTCAGGAGGTCCGGACAAGCCCCCTGCCAAGCGCGGACGAGGGCGCAGACACACCGCAATTTCCCAACGTAAAAGCCCCCAGGGGACGCGTCTGAGAAGCAGCGCGACAGAGTAACGTGGGCCTCACGGAGTCTCTCCTCTGAAGTCGCACTGAGCCACGAGCGCGGGTACCCCTCCGCATCGGCCAGAAAATGAGACAAAAATCACAACGGTGTTTGGAAGGGACTGGCCGGCAGGCATGGACGACTGTCACCCCACATGGGATGTGACAGAGCCCTACAGCTGCTTGTGCTCTCTGCCTGCGGTCCCTGCCAACCACGACTCCCAACACATGTGCAGCCACTACGCCAACTTGGACCCAGAGGCCCGAGTTCGAGGAGCCTGAGGCAGTGGAGGCTGCAGGTAAGCTCGAGCGGACGCGGAGACGCAGGAAGAAAACTCCGGCCACCATCTCAGGGTCCTTCTGGGTCTTTCCTGAACACTCAGGCATGGGACAAAACAGAAATCCCATGAGGCTGGGGAGCCGTGAGCCGCACAGTTCCGGGTGTTTGCAGCTGGGATGTTCACGTTCCCAACGGCCAAGCTGGACGGGACCCGCTCTGACTGGGGCACTCCACGGCGATCCCGGAGCGGCCTCACTTCCGCCTTCAGTGTGGACTCCTCTCCAGCAGGGCTTGAAACCGCGCCGGGTCGCGGGAAGGCCCAGCAGAAGGCAGCCAACAGGAACAAGGTCTGCGTCCAATCGGAGCTTTGCTGACCGGACCAGAAGCCGAAGCGGACCCCGAGGCAGGAGAGCCGCCAGCCGCAGAGACTCGCAACGGACGACAGCGAGGGGACTAGCCGGGAAGGAGGAGTCACCGCGCTGCTTGCCGGCTGCAGCGCTTCAGCAAGCGTGAGGCGTCGGAGAATGGGAAAGGATAAAAGGAAGAAGGCGGAACCTCCAGAGGAGAAAAGTAAACTCTGGGAAAGAAGACGTTCCCGGACAGAATTAAAAGCAGATTAGAGGGGCGCCTGGGTGGCTCAGTCGAGCCCCATGCGAGGCTCCCCCCCCCCCCCCCCCCCCCGCTCATGTTCTCTCTCGCTGTGTCTCTCCGCCAAATAAACACAATCTTAAAAAAAAAAAGATTAGATATTTCGGAAAACGGCTCAAAATGGAACAGAAAATTTTTAGAATTCAGGTTCTAGACCTGGAAGGACCAAAAAGCACAATCAGTGGCCTGTGGAGCATCAGGCAATTGAATGTGCCCGTAAACGGGTCCTCAGAAAGTGGGGGCGGGGGGCTGGAGCACCAGCCACGTGGCGTCCAACGCGAGGAGCCGCCCGAGCTCCGGGAGAGAAGCACGAGCAGCATCCAAGCGCCCCGTCCCCAAGAGCAGAAACGCATCACCAGAAGGACCGCGTGCTCGCTGTGAAGCAAGCACCACCATCTCAGGAAGACGGAGCCCCTAACTCCGCACGGCCGGGCACGGAGCCGGTGCGCCACCTGAGTCGGAGGCAGCGACTCCGTACGGAGCCAAGGGAAATCGCGAGAAAGTAAAACACCTCTGGGCCGCAAGCGAGAAGCCATCGGTCCTGCCGCTCTCCCTCCTCGGATTATCAGACGTTACCTGCTTGAGAGCCTAATGGTCAGCTTCTGGGCTAAGGCTTTACACAGGGAGGTCTTCCCAGTTCCCGGAGGACCTGCAACAGAACCGAGAACGTGTTAAGCCGGCGTGCTAACAGGTGTCTCCAAGCGGGCCGCATGCTCCGGCCAGCACACAAGGCAGGCAGCAGGACTTGGCGCGACAGACGCTGGTCCCCGAGCGCTGTGGACTGACGAGGTCCCCCCGCGGTGCGAATGCCGGCCACCACGAGCAACACGCTTCGCGGGTCTTTCCCTTTTCCTCCTTGTCTGGTCTCCGCTCCCACGCCCCCGACACAGGGGTCCCCTCGGCATCCCGAGCGAGCGCTCTATCTCCTGGTCGGCACCGACACCCTCGCCGTCCCCACATGTCCTCTACAAAACCCATTGGGACCTTGCGAGAGGTCCAACACCTCTCACGACAGTCACATCCCCGCGGCCCACGCTACACCAGAACGGCAGCAGGTGGGGGCCCCTGCCCCGTGGGCCATTTGCCACAGGGCCTGGCGGCGGCTGACTTCACCAACGCGCAGACCTCCCGCGTCTGTCCGGACACGCAGGCGCCTTCGCTCCGACTTTCTGTGCACGCTCTCGATAATGAAAACAACCGCAGCACGTAACCGCGGCGGAGCAGGTCTGCTGCTGCTCGGGGGCGCGGCGGCCTGCAGCAGAACCAGGCAAGGAGCTAACTACTTCGCACCCCGCTTCGCTGCGGGGCTCTCTCGACTGCCTTCTGACCGGTGACATTAAGGACAAGCCCAGGCTTTCTTTGGAGACGATTCAACGGAGCACAGTTGTCGCGCTTTGCTCCAAAGATGCTACAGAGAAGCGCGAGGTGGTTTCCGCCCCAAGGCTTGTAGGAACCCGTGGGCATTAGGCAGTTACTTGACAAGCTGGAGGATAATGTAGAGAAGTCACCGGGCGGCGAATGGGGGTGGCCAAGTGAAGGGCCAAGCGCAAGGTGAGCTGTACCGGCTTCCCAGGGAGGGACCCTCTAGGACAGCCCCGGCTGCATCAGAACACAACGGTGTGTCCTCGAAGGCCGGCGGGACACGTACAGAGGCCCCCGTTCACGTCTGTCTTGTTTAAGGAATGACCCCCTGCGCCTTACCGTGCAGCAGCACCACCCGGTTCCAGGCGATGAGGTTGCTGTCGACATTCTTGTCTGAGAACAGCAGAGTCGTCGTCACGTAATCCAGGAGCTGCGTGAAAACAGGCGGATGTAGTCACTGGTGCTGACGGGGCAGCGGCCCCCCGCGGAGGTGCCGCTGGAGCTCGTGCCCGAGGGGGGCATTGGCACCGGGCCGCCCCTCAGAAGCTGCGGGCAGCCTAAGAAACTCACGGCGTGAGGACAGGCTGGCCGCTACTACCATTTAATCAAAAAAAAAAGGGCGACACGAGGGCCTCTCCCTAAAAGTGTCAAGATCATACAAAAGGACGAGACTTGGCATGTGCTAAGTGTCTCGTGCCTCGGGGACAACACAGCGAGAGGCAAGTGGCAACACTGGGGCCCCGGACAGCGGCCATGACTGTTCTCGCAGCCTGGGGGGCTGTGGGGTGGGCCTCCAGGGTCCCCCGCAGCACGCAGGACCCTTCCCCTCGAAGAGGGTTCCGATGAGCTGGTGCTTGCTCAGACATGCCCGCCTGCTCCATCTGCCCCCCGGCCCTGCCTCTCCAGGCCTGATGGGTTCCTAAGAGCACAGTCCAATCACACTTGTCTCACACCAGGCACCTTTCTACCCCCAGGGACCAGCTCTGCTGGTGAGCAACCCTAGAGGACAGGTATGCAGGACACGGGCTGCTGCTGGGCCCGAGTTCCCAAAGCCGATTTGAGTCCGAGGGCTCCGAGATGCTGGAGAAGACAGTACGGGTGGGTCCCACCTCCAACAAGCGGCCCTCTTAGAAAACGGCACAAACAACTTACATGAGATTTGACTTCCACATCATATACCAGGCTGTCCCAAAGCCCGTGGAATTCAGCTGGGAGAGAATAAAACACAAACTTGATTTTAGGAACACAGGCATTACACTGGCCCCGGAGGTCTGCTCTGAGACACTGACACTGTCCACAGCTCCACATGTGGCTGGTTTAGACTCTCATTACAGGCAAGCTAAATTTTTAAATTTCTTCTTAATGTTGGAATTCTTCTTCTTCTTTTTTTTTTTAGTTTTTTTAAATTTATTTGACAGAGGTCACAAGTAGGCAGAAAGGCAGGCAGAGAGAGAGGGGGAAGCAGGCTCCCCGCTGAGCGGAGAGCCCGATGTGGGGCTTGATCCCAGGACCCTGAGATCATGACCTGAGCCGAAGGCAGAGTCTTTAACACACTGAGCCACCCAGGCGCCCCTATAATTGTGGTTTTGATTTGCATTTCCCTGATGACTCATGATGCTGAAGATCTTTTCATATTCTTTTAATTACTACTTTTTAAGATTTTATTCACTTAACTTGAGAAAGAGAATGAAAGAGAAAAATGGAGCATGGGGGGGCGGAGGGTCAGAGGGGGAAGCAGGCTCCCTGAGCAGAGAGCCCGATGCAGGACTCCACCCCAGGACCTGAGATCATGACCTGAGCCGAAGGCAGAGGCTTAACCCACTGAGCCCCCCAGGCATCCTGGATTTGAGTTCTTAAAATTAAAGATGCTGAGTAATTGCCAGTCACCTAACTTTCGACAGATAATTAAACGGGGTACAGAGACAGTTTCTTGTCATGCTACCACACATGATTACCTTTTGTGGACCCACGCTTCTGCCACGAGCACAGACCCAGACCCACCACTCACCCCGCCGGCCAGCACTTGGGCAGGGCAGCGAAAGGTCTAGACCAGTTGTCAGGAACTCAGACGTAGCCCCAAGGACTGGCTTCACCCCAGAACTCTGCCTGCTAGAACATGGCCAAGTCCTTGGAGAAGCAAAGAAAAGGCAGGAGGAAGGAGTGGCCCAGCAGCTGATCAGCTGGGCAGGAAAAGAACACCTTCTTCTTTTTCTCAGTTAGCACCATCTCAGAGGGCCCTGCCTGAAGGAACGCAGTCTTACAGTGGGATCTCCACGTCCCTCTTTTGCGATCCGCTTTCCATCTCACAAGAAATGAGACAGGCTGAAAGCCTCCAGACCGATGGACCAACACAAAGTCCTCAGCTAACGGACGTGGAGAGCCCGGGCCGCATGCCCATGTCTGCCCTTGTGTCTCGGGTGTGGCCCGCCCACCCTCGCTGTCACACACCTGCAGGCAGGACCCAGTGGCTTGCCGCAGTGATGTTCTCCGTCTCCTCCTCCAGAGTCTCACTGCTGGGGCCGCCCTCGTTCAGCTGGAAGACGTGCAGCGCGACTGTGCAGGCCCCCAGATCGATGGGCTGTGGCGAGAAGGGACACCAAATAGATCCCCACAAACTGCAAACCACTCGCCCTGACTCTAGCCAACAGAGTTAGATGGTAACGTCCAAAAACAACGATCAAACACGCACGTCAGAAACCAGTTCCTAGATCAGGTACAAAAACCTATGGTGCCCAGGTTTAGTGTCAGCAGCTTCTTAAACACTCCCCCTCTCTACCCAAGAAAGGACTTTCTCATTTGCAATCACGGAAGTCACATGCTTGTTGAAAAATACAGGAAACACAGAATGAAGAACGCCAAAGCCCCCACGTCCGACCTCACCCACGTTTTGGTCGAGGACGTGCCGCCTGTATTGGCCCGCGAGGTCTCTGAGCGCGTCGTCCCGTCCGCAGGGCTGGGAAGCGTTCTCCGCCCGCAGACAGGGACCTCTCGCGCGCGTTCCCACAGCCCTGCCGCATGGGCGGACGGAGCGCTCCCTCAGCCAAAGCCTGACTGACGGGTAACTGAGCTGTCCCAAACCGCTGGCTGGTAACGACGCACATAAACCGCCACTGACATAACTTCATAAAATTACGTAGTTGCGGTTCGCATTCTCCCAGGTGAACCTGCAGAGTCCGAGCTGAGAGCCTTAAGGTGTCTAATGGCTCTGCTTAACCCCTGCTGCCTCCGTCTGCGGAAAGCTCTGCTCCCTTCAGGCTGGCCAAAACCAGGTGGGACGGACAAAGCGGACCAGGCCACCGGCGCTAGTCCCTGCGTATGAACGGAGGGGCCCACCTTGCACGCACAATTCCAGTGCCGGAGCAATTCTTCCAGACGGACTCTTTATGAGACACGAACCACGGAGACACCGGTGATGATGTCCCGAGACAGACACTGGGGCTGTTCTCAACGGGACAGAAACACCCCGACGTACCCACCCTGTCACACAGAGCTGGTGGCGAGGCAGTCCACAGGGTGGCCCAGAGGAGGACCTCCAGAAGGGAAGCCCCTCTCTGCAGCCGCACCCCCTGCCTCCATGGCCCTCTGCTCCCGGAGCACGCCAGACAGTCACCGACCTCAAGAGCGGGGAGTGGTCAGGAGGCTCTCAGCAGCAGAGCCCACCACCCCACCGTCTGCAGACGGCCTCTGCTTCCCTCCGTCCCCCGACTGTGCCGCGGGCGCCCTGACGTGGGGGCGCGTCTACTCGCAGCCCCTGGCCTTTCCCAGAGCCGCTGCCCGTCTGACAAGCCAACAGGTAAGCAGGCCCGTTTCCGACCACAGACCAGCAAAGCAGCAGGTACACGTCCAAGATGCGTCTCTGCTTCCGTGCGTTCTCGGAGGTAAAGTCGGCTCCCAACGTGCGGCGCGAGCGCACCCAGGAACCCGAGACCAAGACCCCGCACACCACGGACGGAGCCAGCCAGGAGCCCTCCGCACGGTGACCAGTACCTGTGGGTCTTTCGCCTTCAACTCCGTGTCAACGATGGCCACGGACTGCACGTTCCTGGTCAGAAAAGGCTCGTCGAACTCGGTCCACGTGTAGTCTCCAAACACGATGTTATGTCTGTTGAGCAGCTTGCGGACGCTCTGCTTTATGTCTTCCTTCTTCGCGGTGCTGGGACAGCGGACGGAAGACCTACGCTCAGCTGGGCGCGGGACTGCAGCCCGAGCTGCTCCCACGCTGCAGCAACGGCTCACGCTCCGCCAGCTGACCAGAAGGTGGGTCAGCACTCCCAGTGCCCAGGACCAGGCCTGGAGGCTGAGTCAGCACCCACGGGGCCGGGACCCGGTGGGGACATGGGGACGGCAGACGGACACTCAGGACCGGGCGTGGACTCGGCACCGGGGACGGGGCGGGGACAGTGGGCCGGCACCCGGACTCTGACGACCCTGAGCGGAAGGACAACCCCCCCGCCCCCCAGAGCCCGGGAGGTCCTGACGCAGGAGCCCGAGGCCTGGGACGCCCCTGGGGAAACCCTGGGGCTCTCAGGGCGGCACGGAGGCTTCCAGGACCCCCGCTGGCCCTGGGACCCCGGCTCCCTCCTCCCTGCGACCCTTGGCGACCCGGACCGTGCCCCGGGGGCAGGCAGCTCCGGGAGGGTCTCTCCCCGCGGCTCCCGTCTGGCGTAGCGAGCCGCCGCGGCCACCGGCCCCCGCCCCGGCGCTCACCTGCCGCCGCGCTGGTGCACCTCCACGTGCACGGTCGGCGCCTCGGCCACGCACGGCAGCGCCTGCTTCAGGTCGCCCACGGCCTCGTCCATGGCGCCGCCGCCGCCGCCGCCGGGAGCCGCGGGGACCCGGCCGGAGCGTGGCCGCCGCCGCTGCCGCCGCCGCTGCCGCCGCCCGGGCCGATCCCGCCTTCCGCTCCCGCTCGCCGGCCCGCGCTTGAAAGTGCCGCGCACCGCCCCCTGACCCGGAAGCGCTGCGCGCCGGCGCGGCGGGGCGAGACGACTTCCGGGCGGGGCGACTTCCGGCCGCGGCGCCTGCTTCCGGCGCGGTGCGGCGACCTCCGCCCGGCAAGGCGGGCGGCGAACCAGGGCCGCGGGGGCGGCGGCCACGCTCCGGCCCGGCCCGCTGCTGCCCTCGGCCCCGCGCTCCGGCCCCGGCCTCGCGCCGCCATGGGCAAGAAGCACAAGAAGCACAAGACCGAGTGGCGCTCGTCCTACGAGGGTGAGGCGGCGGGCGCGCTTTGTGACGCCGGCCGGCAGGCGGGGGGCCCGGGGGAGGGTCGGGGGCTCGCGGGTGGGGGGGTCGGGGGAGGGTCCCGGGCTTGCGGGGGCGGTGGTGTCCCGGGCACCAGGGTCCCGAGATCCGCGGCTGGGGCCCCGGGCCGGGGTGCAGGGCTCCGCGGCGTCCGCTGTGTCTTGTGTCCGGAAGGAAGGAGCTGAGCAGCTCCGCGGCTTGTCGGGACTTGGAGGGTTCGGTAGTGGCCTCTCTGCTCGCCTGCTGCCCGCGCGCCCCTGCAGCCGCGGGCTCATGGGGGGGACGCCTGCGGCTGCTGCAGGGTGAGCCCACCGGCAGCTTAGGGATGGGGCATCGGGCTCCTGGGTCCCGGTCCCGCTTTGGTCCTTCCCGCTGCTTTCCTCTAGGCCTCCCTGAGGCGGATGCCGCGTGGAGCGGGGAGAGCACTTAGGCCTGCCGGGTTGTCCTCCCGTCCTCTCTCCTGGACGCTTCCGCCCTCCCCCTGCCTGCTGGCCTAGCCCGGCCAGTCCGTCCACCTCCCGGGGCCTGGACTTCTCCTGGTCACACCTGCGTGGGGGGCCGGCCCTGCTGCCAACTCGGGGGAGGTAGCGGGCATGCGCAGCCCGAGCACGCAGGGACGTCTCTGTCGGCAGATTACACAGACAAGCCCCTGGAGAAGCCCCTGAAGCTGGTCCTCAAGGTCGGAGGAAGTGAGGTGACCGAGCTCTCGGGGTCCGGGCACGACTCCAGTTACTACGACGACAGGTCAGACCATGAGCGCGAGCGGCACAGAGAAAAGAAGAAGAAGAAGAAGAAGAAAGCGGAGAAGGAGAAGCACCTCGATGACGAAGAGAGAAGAAAGAGGAAGGTGGGGTGGGGGTCGTGGGCTCGTGCCGGCCCCAGGCCCTGCAGGGCAGGTGGCAAGTGCTGCGGGCGCGGGAGGGGCTTCTCTTGGAGCGGGAGGCAGACCCGGAAGGTCCTGTGCTTTGTTTCCCGTTCTCTGGGCCTCGGCTCTGGCCTGAGCCCTGGGGGTGGCCGCTGAAGGGGGAGCCTGCGGTGAGAAGCGCGCCTCATCAGTTACGGGGGGACGCGTCTCCAGCTGCTGGCGTGGCTCTCGCCCCTGACCCTGCCTCACAGGAGGAGAAGAAGCGGAAGCGGGAGAAGGAGCACGGGGACACGGAGGGCGAGGCCGATGACTTTGATCCGGGGAAGAAGGTGGAGGTGGAGCCGCCCCCTGACCGGCCCGTGCGCGCCTGCCGGACCCAGGCGGGTGAGTGTGGCGCCGGGGAGGCTTTCCCGAGCCTCCGCTTACCTCCGTGCCACGGGGCTGGCGCAGTCCTGCGGTCTCTGGGGTGGAGCTCGGGGAGGAGCACGGGGAGGAGGGGGTGCCGTGTCTTCAGCGTGAAGCGGAGCGGGGCCTGAGTTCTCGCTGTTCCCTTCGGGCTCCTGGAGCAGGGCCTGGCCGGCTCCACCTCCCGCTCCCCGTTGCGCTCCTCTTTAAAGTCCGGGGCTCAGTGTGGAGGGGAGGACAGTGGCGCTCATGGGGGTGTCAGAGGTTGCGAGGGCTGCGGCAGCTCCACCAAAGGAAGGGGTCCGAAATGCTTGGGACCCTGTGGTCTGTGCGGTCACTTCTCTGGGGCTCCCACACAGGAGGTGCCGACGGGAGGTAGTTTCTGAGGCGTTTCTTTCCTCGACTTTGGGGTTGACTACCGAGGATTGGGGGGGGCGTGTGCTGCAGTCATTGTGGGGGCTGCTGCGTTCTGGCAGGCCCCGTCCCCTGTGCAGGTCATTGCCGTGGTGGACTCGGGGCCTCTAGGCACGGTGGGGCACAGAGAAGGTCAGGCGTGAAACCGTTCGCTGGATGAACGCGTCTGTAGGATGTGGACAGTCGCTGGGCCCCGTGAGCTTAGTCTGAGTGACCCCTCGTTTGAGGTCACGTGTAGTGCTTCCCTCCCGCGTGTCTGAACAGCGGATGTTCACATCTGTTCTGGTCACTGTTGCGTCGAGGACCCACTTGAGGTCCGCACTTCTGTGCTTCAGGCCTGGGACCAGCCGTCTCCCCACGGAGCCCTGGTTCCTTCGAGCACCGGCCTGTCAGGGGCTGGGTGTGGCCCTCGGTAGGTGGCAGGCAGAAAGGTCGCACGCGTAGCCCCAGCCGAGAGAACAAAACCTGCGCGGGCTTCGGGGTTCACTGCGTTCACTGGAATCCGCGTTTTCACCCGGTGGGCGCAGCGGCGCGGTTAGCACCTGCGCTCCCGGGAACCCCAGGGCCGTGTGTGCTGCTGTGCCTGGTTCACAGGTGAGCAGCCGCATGACCAGAGCGTTAGGACTCTCCAGAGGATAACGGGTGGAGCTCCCCCGGTGTCCCAGGCCTTAGTTTTTCTCTGCAACGTGCCGGGCCCGGCAGCGGCCTGGACGGTCCAGGCCGATGAGCGGTCACCCCCTGTTGTCGTGCCGAGGGTGCCGGTGCTCCGAGGGGTTTCTGGGACGGATGCTGACGAGGAGGTCCTTTCCCACCCCGCTGGGCTTCCTGGGGCCGGGCCTGGGTCTGGTCCATCCTTGTTGCCAGTTCTTGTTGGAACATGAAACACTGTGAGATGTGGAGCTGCTGGAGACACACCGTGGGGGTGGCGCTCTCCAGGGACGGGACGCCGCGGTCTCCCGACTCGTCTCTCTATTTTTGTGTTGCCAGCGGAGCACGAGAGCACGCCTATCCAGCAGCTGCTCGAGCACTTCCTGCGCCAGCTCCAGAGGTAAAGCGTCGCTCGAGGCCGTCTTCCCCTGAGCCGTGCTGCTGCCCCCGTGGCTGTGAAGCGGATGCTCGCCCAGTGTGGGGGGCGGGCAGGCACGCGCGGGAGGTGCGCAGGGAGAGCCCCGGCGGCCGGTCAGCGCGGGCGGGTCAAGGCTGCCACGATGCGGGTGTCCTAGCTGCAGGCAGGACGGCGGCTGGGGAGTTGTCAGTTCTCCAAAATTCCACAGCTCTAGGGCGCGTAGGTTTTGCTTTTTATCTTTAAGATGCAGGTTAAACTCCGGAGAGGCGTGGGACGTCTGCTGTGCGGGGTTTCGTATCTTTTGGAAGTCGAGATTTATGGTTTCCGCAATTTGAATCAAGCTGTTTGTGTTCTCAGGAAAGATCCTCACGGATTTTTTGCTTTTCCGGTCACGGATGCGATTGCGCCTGGTTACTCCATGATAATAAAACACCCCATGGATTTCGGCACGATGAAGGACAAGATTGTAGCCAACGAGTACAAGTCGGTCACAGAATTTAAGGTAAACAGTCTCAGTTCCCCAAACCGCTGCGGTGAGGCTGTGCGCGCCGACGCCCGGTGAACGTCCGCCTTCGCTCTCTGTGGTCAGAGGTTCTGCGGGCGCCGGCGCATTTGGGCTGAGGTCACCCGCGCGGCACTGGGGGAATGGGCTGGCTGAGGTGTCCTCTGTGTGTTTTCCGGAAGCCCGACCGTATGCGGCCACGGGAACACGTTGGGTCAGGCCGGAGTGTGTCGATTTGGTCTGGATCAGACTGGGCGTTTCTAGAAACACGGTTTCCTAATTTTTAGTTTTATCTTGCGGTAGTGGGAGTTTAATTTGTTTTTGAATAATAGATTCTCACAGCAGCTGAGTATGTAGTTCTTAAACCTGTTTCTTGCTACCACCTCTGATGTACAAAGGCGTCTTGGCTTTGAAACGTGGAGCGGGTGGATCACGTGAGCGCTTGACCGCTTTGGCGGTCGTCATTGAGGAACGGGCGTCAGGTTTCCGAGTTTTGGTTAAATTTGGAAGGCTTGGCTCTTTACGTTCACGTCCTGCTGTCGTGACAGGGTTTGGCGAGCTGTGGCAGCAGCCCACACTCGGGTGTTGCGTGGGGTGCGGCTTCCTCCAGAGCGCCCGGCGCTGCCCCCAGGGCAGATGGCTCGCAGCAGCCCACAAGCCTTCCACTTCACTAGCTCGGGTCCCAGTTCGGTCTGCTGCCCACTGACCGTCCTGGATGTGAGCAGCGTCCCCCTCCCTCCCCTGTGTTCTCATGACTGGTATCTCGGGGCCAGCGAAGGACGGGGGCTTCACGGCCTCAGGCCCAGCCCTGGAGACCTTGGCGTGGGGCTGGTGCTAGGGCTCGGGAAGTGCCAGGAGAGTTCGCACTGTATCCCCTGGCCCGACGGCGGACTCGTCTGTGACAGGTGCATGCCGAGTGTAGTTTGGTGACAAAACCCTGAAGTTCCCAGACTCCACTTCTAGTATCGGGTGTTCAGTAAGAGTCGCCTTGTTGGGGCGGAAGTGTTTGCTCGGGCGCCTCTGGAGCAGTTCCCGGAGGCAAGATGCCGGACTCCGCGCAGAACTCCCAGAGATGGAGGACACGACTGCGCTCGGGTCTCAGCTCGTCCCTTGGCCTTAACTGGAAGAACGCGGCTGCCGTTCTCGTTCCCGTTTGCATCCGAGTTCCTCCCAACGGGGGAGAGCGGGGGCGGCCCTGCCCTCGCGGCATGCTTGTGTCGCGCTCAGGAGGATGCGGGGCTTGGGGGCTCCTCAGTGTGTGCGGGGAAAGACCAGTGAGTGATTAGGAACGGTTTTGAAGGTGTAGAAACCGTTTGTTAAACCGAAGAGCCTGATCTAGTTGTTTCGCCCTCGTTTTTAGCCTCTTTTTTCTTTCCTGTTAAGATTTTATTTATTCATTTGACAGATCACAAGCAGGCAGAGAAGCAGAGAGAGAGAGAGAGGGAGAGAGGGAGGGAGAGAGGGGGAAGCAGGCTCCCCACTGAGCAGAGAGCCCGACACGGGGCTGGATCCCAGGACCCCGAGATCATGACCTGAGCTGAAGGCAGAGGCTTAACCCCCGAGCCCCCAGGTGCCCTGCCCTCACTTTTAGCCTCTTGACAGGAATCCAGTGTACGTCTTGGTGGCGTTTCGAACTGGATGGATACGATTATTTTTCCTCTCAGGCAGATTTTAAGCTGATGTGTGATAACGCCATGACCTACAACAGACCTGACACCGTGTACTACAAGTTAGCCAAGAAGATCCTTCATGCGGGCTTTAAGATGATGAGCAAAGTAAGAAGCCCTTGAAGGCGCGGAGCCACAGAAACGAGCGTTCTCCTCTGTGTTCTTATGCTTGAACAGAACCTCACCCCCAGTCAACGACCCACTTCCATCCGTCCGTCCCCGGCCGCGGCGTGGACCCCTCTGCTCTAGCGTAGACGTCCCAGGCCACCTCCCCTCCAGGCACTCCCCCTCTGCTCCTGCTCACGATCCAGCTGTGAGCTCTCCTGTAGGGTTGGTGGAAAGTTCTGGATCTGTCGGCCTGAGCCTGGGCATCCTGTCTCTGGATTGCAGCCGGCCCGTGATTTGTTTCACGTGGCTGCCCGCTGAATCCAGACGGGACGTTGGCTGTCCGGCGTGGCTTCCCAGATCTGTCCCACCAGCCAGTTGCATGCGTCACGTGTCTAGGACCAGTGCCTTGTGCCTGATGAGCCTGTAGGTGAGGCGCGGCCCCTGTGCCCTCAGGCCCGTGCCCTTGGCCAGCCTCAGGCGCTCCCGGCCCCGTCGGCTGCACCCGTGGTGTGACCCCGCCCCCCCGCCCCCCACAGTAGTGCGGCGGAGTCAGCTGTCAGGCCAGGTGAGGCTGCGGCCCCCCACCCCACCCATCGTCATAGCGCCCTGGCCGGCAGGGAGAGCTAAAGCCCTGCCGCTCTGTCCTTTCTGATTGCAGGAGCGGCTGCTAGCTTTGAAGCGCAGCATGCCGTTTATGCAGGACGTGGATTTCTCTCAGCAGGCAGCTCTTCTGGGCAGCGAAGACCCCGCCGTTGAGGAGCCCGTTCCCGAGGTGGCGCCCGTGCAAGTAGAAACTGCCAGGAAATCCAAAAGGCCGAGTAGAGAGGTCATCAGGTAAAGAGAAGTGTGTCTGCGTGGTGCGTGGGACACGTGCCTCGGGACGGCCGGCGAGGGGCAGCCCGTGCCCAGCCCGTGGCCTTGGACAGCGGGCACGGCCTCTGGGGAGTGCACAGTCCCCCGGGGCCTGGGGCCGGCTCTCGCCTCAGGTGCTCGCAGGCGGTCGGTAAGCAGCCTGGACCAGCTTGGACCGTCAGGCTGCTGGACGTAACATGCCGGAGGCGGGATGGCCCTGCCGCCCCACACGGTCTCTGTCCTAGGTGTGTCACGGGAGCCTGTCTGGCCACAGCTCTTCCCACGTGCGTGTCATCTGTGAATAACTGTTGGCCCTTCACTCCCAAGAGGCTCGCTCCCGTGCGGGATGCATGCTGGTGGCCTGGCCCGGCTGTCCCTGGCCTGGGACTTAGCTGTGCTGCGTCGGGCAGGCTGAGTGTGGCATTGGAGCCGCTTTCTCATCGTACCCCCAGCCTCTGTGCCTGCAGCTGTACACCCAGGCCGGAGGGAGGGCCTTCCTGTAGGCTCGAGGTCCCCAGGCAGGGTTTGCTCCCACCGCGCCAGAGAAGGGGTCTCTCCATTCGCTTCTAGAATCTTCCACAGGAGAGGCCACTCTCTTGTGTGCTACACCCAGCAACTCTTGACGGCAGTACAGAACTCCCTCACGTGGGGCTCGTGGCCACGTGCTGGAGGCCTGGGGTGTTCCTGGGACTCACGGCCTATGTCCCTCGCTCACACTGGGTGTGGGTGCTCTGCCCTCCACGCAGTTCTGCCCCTTTTTCTGACGGTGCCTCAAGCGACACTGTAGGTCTGCGAGCTTCGGGCAGGTAGTAAGACTCCCATCCAGTGGGTCTTAGAGTGACTGCAGGTGAGGCGCGTCTCGTGACCGTTTGGATTCGTCTTGCTCTTAGCGGACGCGTCTGTGTGCCAGGACAGGGCTAAGATGTGCTTTGTGCCGCCAGCCCCTGGTGGCCTTGAGGCTGAGGGACTGGCCCCAGGGAGGTGGGAGCAGTGCGTACCCCGGCCTCCTGGTGACGCGTGCGCTGTTCCTGCCTCGCAGCTGCATGTTCGAGCCGGAAGGAAATGCCTGCAGCCTGACCGACAGCACCGCGGAGGAGCACGTGCTGGCCTTGGCAGAACACGCGGCCGACGAGGCTCGGGACAGGGTCAGCCGGCTCCTCCCAGGGGGCAAGGTAGTGGCAGGAGGGCCGGGTGGGGCTGCGTCCTGCTGATGCGGCGGGCGTTACGGGGTCGTGTTGGCTCCAGGCCCTGGCTTCATCTCCTCGGGGGAGGGGGCCTCCAGGGGCACCTCAAAGGCAGGACCCTCTCAGAAGCCGTGTTTCGTGCGTGGACACCGTGGATGGCCTCACCCTTTGGAGGGATGGTCGCCGCTGATGGAGGCTGGGCCCGCCAGGCTTCTGCGTTGCAGCAGGGACCTTGTCCCGGTTGCTCCCGTCGCTGCAGTGCCCAGGGTTCCGTGTGCCCCAGGCCTGGGCCGTGGGAGCCATCCTAGCAGCTGCTGGGCCTCAGGGCGGGGTCCCACCGTCCTCTGAGCGCCCTCTGCTGCAGCAACAGACCCGCAGGCCCAGTAGAGACGGCGACGGCGCTGAGTGAGGTTTCAAACCGGGTAGTTGTGATACCAAGGCCAGAGGGGACGTTAATCCTGGTGCCTCTTGCTTGAGCCGGCACGTCCAGTCTTACGTCAGCACGTATCTATGTGAAAACCGTTAGGTGCACGTCCTTTTTCCCACTCAGAGTTTTTAAAATGCACGTTGAGTGGTACACAAAGAACTCGGAGCGCTGAGGTTACATAAGACCTGTTGAGGTCGGTTTTTCTGTACTGCCTTTAAGGCTTTCTGGTGCGGAGGTTGGAGTTCTGTGTGTAGCTCATGGTGCTGTGCTGCTGGGCCCGCCGGTCTGCACCCCTGTAGTGCCCAGCCCTGGGGTCTCCAGGGAGCCCTGGGCCCCAGGTGGGGCCCTCTGGGGGGTCGGGGAGACCCCGTGCTGATCTGTGTGTACTGGCTAGAAGTGTGTGTCCACACCCACACCGCCAGTGCCCCTGGCACTGCGTCCACCTCGCTCTGCTCCCTTTCACTGTTGGAATGGCACAGCGAGAAACCTGGCCAGTTACTTGGTCAGTGGCGCCAGACCCCTGTCCCGCCTCCCTTCCCCTCCCAGCCCTGCACTCACGCCAGCCCGAAGGCTGCCCTCCCCTCATTTCCCACACGGACACGCAGGGGCCCCTCTTCCTGCATCTCCCTGGGGGCCTGCGGAGGAGAAGTGCTCTTGCTCGGTGCATGGTCTTGAAGTGGAACTGAGCCCCTCGTGGTTTAGAGAGCCTCCAGGCTGTGCCCTGACACGGCCCTTGGCGACCCGGGTGACCAGGGTCTCGTTCCCGCTCCTCTGGTTCCGGTTGTGATGTCCCGTAAAGCCCTTGTCTCTGGGTCCAGCCTCCGGTTGCAGAGGCGCCTTTAGAAGGGTCCCAGGAAGCCTGAGTTCATCCTGCACACGGGTCGGGTCTGACAGGACGTTTGGGTGGGAGGAGATGGGCCTCTGGAGCCTTTCCGCGGGGAGGCCAGGACCTTCGCAGCCTTCGGGCATCCTCCCGGTTGGGCCTTCATTTGGTTGGCGTTTCCGTGGCAGCCACAGCCGCGGGCTGCTGCTGGGGCGGCGCTCAGCTGCGCTTTCTTGCAGATGGGCTACCTGAGGAAGAACGGGGACGGTGGCCTGCTCTACAGCGTGGTCAACACGGCCGAGCCGGACGCCGACGGTGCGTGTCCCCTGCGTGGCTGGGCGTCTCCGAGCTGCGCGCTGCTCTTGGTCTCTGCACCGCTGGGGGTTTTAGAGCCTCGTGGCCTGAGCGTCTTCCCGGCAGAGTGTGGCCCCGGTGGTAAAGCGAGAGGACGGGCCCCATCTGGTTTCATGCTCCTGTTCATGCCCCTTGACGCGGCCCGTGCGTGATAGATGGACAGCAGGCCATCGTCCATGGGGGCAGAAGCCCTGGTCGGAGCTCTTCTGCCCCGCGGTCCCCGGCATGAGGGAGCTCTAGAAGGAATAGCGCCTTCGGTAGTCGTGTTAAGGCAGACCTTGAAGGAGACACAGATGGACCCGTTCAGCGGTGCGGGCCTCTCTGTGCGGTGCAAGCAGCGCCGACACATTCCTCCGTCTCAGGAAAGTGCCTCGAAGGCTTGTGCTTTGAATTAAAGCCAAGCTCACTTGCACAGGGACACGTTTTTCATACACAAAGGAGAACGAAATACTCTCCATTATTCCCAGCCTCCTGGGGGTGGGACCTCTCCCCCGACCTGGGGCTCCTGGTGGCGTCCTTTCGTGCGGCGCTGGGGAGGCCCGTTCGCTTAGCCTTCTCCGACGGGTACCCCGTGTGCCCGCTGGCCACCTGCCGCCTCTGGTGACACGAGTGCCATTATTCTTTGTAAGAGGACAGATGGGCCGGTCACTCCTGGCGTAGAGAGAGGAAGTGAAGGTTTGAGACTTGTAGTGGCTTCTGTAATTTTGATTTTAGCGAGTCTTGGTGGAGAGTCCCCGTGCTCCCTGTCACGTGCCCTTGTGTGGCACTTTGGGGGCCGGGAGCTGCCCCGAGCTGCCCGTTCACAGCCTGGTCCCCTTTGCAGAGGAGGAGACCCACCCCGTGGACCTGAGCTCACTCTCCAGCAAGCTGCTCCCCGGTTTCACCACGCTGGGCTTCAAAGACGAGAGAAGGGGCAAAGGTGAGTGCGGTGGGCAGGTAGGGGTGGGTGTGCGCCCAGAGTCCTCCCCCGAGACCTTCCCCCTCCGCTGTGCTTAGGGCCGCACGCCGGCTCTGAGGGAGTGGCTAAGTGCAGGTCACCTGCAGGGAGGGGAGAGGAAGCGAGCGGGGGCTGCCGTGCTGGCACTGGGTAGGGGCACCTGGGGGCGCGTAGGCAGTGACGGTGGGCATGGGGGGGCACAGTTGGGGAGGGACACGGCACTGGCGTGCAGGCGTCTGCCTCTGTCTGGCAGACGGTGGTGGCCAGCACACTGGTTGGGGTGTGTCGGGGCAAGCAGCCATTTCGTTCCCCGGGGACAGCTGGCCGTGTCCGGGGTGTTTCCTGGTGATGCTGTGACCCTCCTGGCCCTGAGTGGGGAGAGGCCGGGAGTGCTCCCCCACAGCACCCTTCCCGAGCCCTGACTTCACGTGTGCCAGCGATGCCTCCCTCAGGGCACGTGGACCTTCTGACCCCCTTGACGTGCCCTCGGTGGGTGCCTGCATCCCTCTGCAGGCTCCGTCCCCAGCGCTGTCTGCGGTGGCATGGGAGCCTGGTGCCCACGCCCCTGCAGAACGCAGACGGCTTCCTGCGCTGTGACGTGAGGGTGTGGCAGGGCTTGGCAGCCGCGTGCAGGAGGCAGCACGGGACGGCAGGGCAGGGGGTGCACAGCCTTGGGGCGCCTCTCATGCTGGGGGCATCTCACGTGCTGTGCTCTCCCTCTTGTGCTCTCAGTGACGTTTTTGTCCAGTGCCACCACCGCACTGTCGACGCACAATTCAGTATTCGGAGACTTGAAATCGGATGAAACCGAGCTGCTTTACTCTGCCTACGGAGACGAGACGGGCGTGCAGTGTGCGCTGAGGTGAGCAGGGCTGGCATGGCAGGGGTGGCCCCCCAGTGCCAGGCGGGCAGTCTCCCTGCGCGTGGCGGGTCACGGCCGCCAGCAGCAGGTCTGAGCAGCCGAGCTTTCTGAGCGGTCTCCCACACACCTCGGGGCCGTGGCAGGCTGACCCTGAAACTCAGGTGACGGCCGGCGCCGGAAGCTGGTGACGACTGGGGCTGTAGCGTAGAGGAGGACGAGAGTCCGCGTGACCTGTGCTGTGCATGTCACATGGATTTCGTGACTTTGTTATGATGCAGCTACGTGCTGCGTGGGTCTGCTTGGGCCACCGGAACAGAGCCCCGCGGGCCTGATGGCTGGAAGGCCAGGGACTACCGTGCGGTGGCCCTGGGCGCTGGCGGTCTGAGAGCCAAGCGCGGGCAGGCTGGGTTCTCCTAAGGCCTGTCCTTGGTGTGTGGACGCCATGGTTTCCTGAGTCCTCATGTGGCCATCCTTCTGGGTGAGTCTGTGTCCTGCTGTCCGCTTCCTTTAAAGACACCAGTCAGGATGGGTCAGGGCTCTCCTTGAAGACCTCACTCTGACTTATCACCTCCTCAAGGCGCTGGGTCTGGACACAGTCACGTTCTGAGGTTCTGGGGCCGGAGTCCAGCGTAAGGAGAATGGGCCACCGTCGGTCCCTCACAGTGGCTGAGATGTGCTTTTCAGACCGGAGACACAGGACTGTGTTTGTAGGACCGTTCTCGTGTGTACTGGCTGCTCTGCGTGCCAGGGAGAAGTGGGTTACGCTTACAGAATTTTTGTGATTGTGCAGGAGGAAGGTAAAGTTCTGCCGACCTCTAAGAAATGGTTTTTTTCCACGTTAGGTTTTTGTTTGATCTAAAACAATACAGAGTCTATTTTAAAAATCGCTGGTCCTCACCACAGGGAGTGCCTGACCAGGTTTTTGTGAGATCAGAGTAGAAGTGGAAAACGCAGGAGGGCATGTGTTGGAGTTGAGGACAGCGTCCTGAGTGGTGGTCCTCTCCTTCACGCCACTGCCCTGTCACAGCCCTCTGGGGACGACAGCCGCCTTCCGTTCGGGTGGCACAGGGTGCCCAGACCGTGGTGGCCTTCTCCAGCGCCTGCTCCCGGAACACATCTGGACTCTGGGTGCCAGATGGCGACAGTCACAGTCATGTGGGCAGTGCGGGGAGGCGGGCAGACCACACTCCTGCTGGCGTCCCCATGTCGCCTCCCCATGGGCGCTGTTCCCGGGCACGTGCAGACCACGCCTGAGGGTTCCAGCTGCGTCCCAGCCCTGCACTCCTCGGCTCGATGTTCCTTCTCAGACGCTGCTGGTGGAGACTCTGGCGGCGTGACGCTCAGGCAGCTGGGAGCCCTGCGCAGCCGTTGCCCAGGCTTGGATGCTAGGACTTCGGCGTTTGTTCTCTGCCTCCTTTTGAGACATTTTGGTTTTATTTACTTATTTTCTTCCTCATTCACGCGACGGAAACCTTGAAACGAGCTCCAGGCCGTACGAGCAGGGACCCGCCCCCACGCCTGTCCTCCTTCCCCGCTGTGAGCACCTCTCCTCAAGCAACTTAGGGTTTTAAATCCAAACAAAAAAAAAAGATAAAGTTATGCTTTTTCCAGGAAATAGCACAAGACACCTGTTGACCCTCGAGCAGCTCTCAGTGGTGCGAGTCCGCTTCCGTGCGGGGCGTTTCCTCTCGTTACCCTGCTGCGGCACCGTAAGCTGCTTTCTCTCTCGTCCTGCTCTCGTGGCCCTCGGCTTCGTTGTGGGAGCGCGGCCGCGGCGCTCAGGAGGCCGGAGTCCGGGTCTGTCCATGTCCGCGTCAGCAGTTGGCTGCTCCGGGTAACCTGGGGCTCGGGAGTTAGCGCACGGAGTTCAGCTGTGGGGCCCGTACCCCGAGCCCCATGCGCTTAAGGGTCCACTGGATGTGTGTACAAAGTTGTTCACGGTGTTCAGAAATAATCTTCTTTTGAGATGTTTTAAACTTTTTTGGGTCATGGGCCACTTTAAAGGTCTGATGAAGACTCCCGACCCCTGCCCGAAACTGTGTCCGGGAGGGTGCCGCTCCCGGTCAGGCTCGCCGCGGGGCCGCGTCTGAGGGCTGGGCTGCCCGGGCAGGCACTGGGCCCAGGACCACCAACGCTGGTGAGAGGAGCGGGAGGCTGCAGCACGTAGTGCCCGTTTGACGGTGTCCCCTCCCGGCCCTTCCAGCCTGCAGGAGTTTGTGAAGGACGCTGGGAGCTACAGCAGGAAACTGGTGGACGACCTGCTGGACCAGATCACCGGTGGGGACCACTCGCGACTGCTTTTCCAGCTGAGGCAGGTGGGTGTGCCACGCCGGCCCCCGTGCTGGGCACACACGTGCCCTTGGCGCTCGTCCTTGGCGCCGCTGCCGTCGCAGGATCCCATCCGGACTGACGCCATCCTGCCCTTGCTCGTTCTTTATTTTCATGGTTTTTGGTGTAAGCATTTAACTTTTTTTCAGAAAAACTTCAAAACAAAAAAAGTTGCCTCTGTTGACCACGCGTTCGTGGTTTCTGGCAGCTGTGAGAATGTGACATGTGCCCGAGTTTTCTCCGTCGGCTGTCATTTTCCTTCGTTCTGAGAACCTTCTTTAGCACCGTGTCTTCTGCTGTAGGCGTGGCTGACGGTGAACTCGCTCAGCTTCTTGTCCGGAAAACGTCTTTACTCTTCCTGTATCTTTGGAGCCCGTCTTCCCTGGTCTGGCATCACGGGGCATCTTCCCGGCCGCTTGAGACGGCGCCTGAGCGCGGTGTCCGAAGTGTCTGTGGCCTTTTCATCTGCTCTGCGCTTGTCCCCCGTCCTCTGGGCCCATCGGGGGTCGGCAGACGTGGGCCGGTGAGCTACGCGCGCTCTACTTTCCTTAAAGGCTGTAAACAGAAGAGGGGGTGCTACAGACCTTACGTGGCCCGCGAGGCCCCGCGTGTTTGCTCTTCGGGCCTCGGGGGGAAGCTGACGGACCTGTCGTGGATGCTTCTCGACTGGAGCCCGTGCCGTGCCGTGCGGCGGCTCCTGGCTCGTGCCGTGCCGCGCACTCCGCCCACCGGCTGCCCAGCTTCTCGCGCCCGTCTGCGTGCGGTTTCCGTCACATCGGGAGACGTTTGTCCGTTATTTCCTCAAACGCCGTTTCTGCCCACAGCCCGCGTCCATCGTCTGTCCAGGACGTCTGCACAGGTGCTGGCGGTCCTGACCCATTCTGCGTCTGGAACACTCTGTTCCTTGTCACTCTTCTCCCTCCTTTGGAGTTAGGTTCCGGAGCGTGGTTCCAGTCACGTGACGTGGTAAGGGCCACGTCCACATCTCCTGTTGCCCCGGAACCTCTCCTCCGGGGCTGCATTCGTCTTCGCCCTGCCTGGGACTTTCTTGCGTCCGCGCTTGGCTCTGTGCTCCTGATCTCCTCTCGGTCTTCGGACCGATTTCTAATGCTTCCCACGGCGGCCCCTCAGGTCGTCCGCTCTCCCCTCTGTCACTTCTGCGTTCGCGGCAGCGGGTTTCCCTCTGCTTGCAGGCGGCGGCCGGGTCCCGGGGGCCGCGCTGTTGAACGTGCGGCGTGGGCTGTGCCGACCAAGCAGCCGGCAGCCAGGAGCGGCTGGTGCGAGCCTTACCGCGGCTCGTCGGAACGCGGATGTGCTGGGAACGTGAGCCACGAGCAGAGCTGTAGCGGCCAGAGCAGAAGATGAAACGGGAAAGTACTTCTTTGGTTTATTCGGGTCATACGTCAAAGTAAAAACTGTTGTAGTCCGAGGTACGTTACCGTCCGGTGTGTGCGGACGTGAGCTTTCGTTGGCTGCAGACTTACACTTGGGCCTGGGATCACGTCCCGTTGCCGCTGGGCAAGGCTGGTGCTGGCTTTGTCGTGGTCCGTTAAAGACCATCGGTGCTCGTTTTGGCGGAGTCCTTGTGAGTCACCTCATCTCTCGGGGTTTGTTTTTAAGCTTTGTCAGGGCGGGTTTCGGTGGCCTTGCAGTTGGGTGAGTTTGGCCCTGATGCTAAGGAATGGCCCTTCTGGGGTCTCCCCCAGCTTCAGTGAGGGCTTTGCTCTGGCGGGTGGAGTTGGGCCGTGCGTCCCCATGTGTGCCCGGCCCCGCGGGGTCCCGTCTGCGTGTGCACGGGTTAGGGTCCGTTAGGTTTATCCCCCCGGATTTGTGGAGCTCCTGCTGGGAGCCGTGTCCCCCGTCCAGACTCGGCCCCGCCGGCCGGTGAATGCTGTTCTCCACGGTGCGGCCTCAGTGCTCGGGGGCTGTCCTGCACTGCGGTCTGGAAGCTGGTCCCGGGGCTGGCCCTGGGCACGGTGTCTGAGCTGTCTTTGTGCTCTGTGCTGCTTGGAGCGGGACACTCGGATACTGGCGACACTTACTGTCCTGCTGAAGTCACAAACAGTGCCGTGCCAGCTTCCAAAGCATCGGCTCGAAGCCGAGGTCTCGGATGTGCAAGTCCGCCCGCCGAACCCTTGCGTCGCCGGTGCACGCAGCCAGGCCGTTTAGAAGGTGATGCTCCTGCCAGATTGTAGGACAGTGAGGTTGCGCTTGTGCTTGCCACACAGGGTCACATGTGGCCGGGTGCCCCCACAGATTGTGGCCCCAGGTGACTTTGGGTCCCGCTCAGGCTGTGGTCGCACAGTTGGGTTCCAGCGTCAACCTCTCGGTGTTGTGCACCTGAGGAGAAGGGTGTGCAGCCCCGTAGCCCAGCCGTCGGAGGTGGTACTGCTCAGACCGCCAGGCCTGCCGTGTCTCCCGCGTTGTCCCAGAGACACAGGGTACGGTGTTGGGTTTGACTGTTGGAAGCTGTCCGGCGCCGCAGGAGCAGGTGGGCTGCGCTCTCCCATGCTCTCCGTCCGTGCAGGGTATGCCCGGGGCCCTCAGCCCACCGGGGGTCTCAGCGGGGGCTGTGTGCATCGGCCTCCCACGGCGCACGGTTGCTGCCTCGCTCCGTCTCTGCTCCACGGACGCGGGTGCGGCCCAGCTCCGATTCGCGGCACGGCGGGAGCGCCACAGGGACAGCCCCGGCAGCAGCAGCAAATAAACTGTAGTTCACGTGTGTGTACCTGACACAGATGAATTGTTCTTTATAAGACGTTTTGGAAAAACTGACTGCTAACCTGTTTTGACTTACAGAGGCGGAATGTTCCGGCGAAGCCTCTAGACGACGTGAAGGTGGGTTGTACGGACAGGTGAGTGAGAACCCAAGCGTGAGTGTCTCTGGTCAGCGGTCACGGTCAGCCCCTGACACGGGGGGCAGCTGAGAAGAGAGTGTGTGGCGTTTCCTAAGAAACTCATTAGGTGGTAGTCTGCTCTGCCCTCGGTTCTTAGTGGCTCGGGTGACAGGTGGAAAGCCGCGGCACTTCTCCAGGCCACACAGTCGCCACGGAGCTGTGGCTGCGCTGGGGGCTCTGTCTCCACCGGGGCCTGTCGCGCGGGCAGCAGGCTTCGTTTCCAGTGCGGCGCGTCCTGGGGGCTGTCAGCCGCGTGCCTGTGCTCCGCACACGCAGCAGTGAGGCCAGCCTGGCGGATGCGCGTCCTCAGGGCACCCCCAGGACTCGAGGATCTGAGGGAACTTCATTGTGCTCCGGCCTCGGTTTCCCCATTTTGCCTTTCCTTTGGGAGGGACTGGGAGCGAGCCCGTTGACAGTGGGCTCTGAACGCAGCCCCTGTGTCAGAGCTGGCGCGCCGGGCCTCTGGACGGGCTGTGGGGCCTGGGTCACAGAGGCTCTCTGGCCTGGGGGACGGAGGGCCTGCTCTCGGGAGGTGCGGCAGGTGCTTAGCAGGCAGGGCTCACTGAGTGACAGGGTGGTGAGGGCGGCATGCTGTCTCCCCTGCAGGCGCATCCCTCAGTGTGGCCTTACCTGAGGGCAGCAGAGCTCCCCGCTCAGGGTCTGTGGGTCAGGCGGATGTGCTGCAGCTGGGAGCCCGGGTCCCGTGTGGTGTCTGTGCTCTAGGCCATCTGGAGCCGGGAGCCCAGCACTCCCTCCCTCTGTCGTCCCAGCGGCGCCTCCGCACGCCACCCCGGGAGCATTCAGCAGGGGCCTCCCGCCCCCGAGGCTGTCCCTTGTGCCGGGAGCTCCAAGCCCCGGTCCCCCCCCACCGCCAAGCCTCAGGTAGCAGCCTGCTGCTGGGCGGCTCTCCCGGTGGTGGGCGGCCTCCACCTCCTCTCCCTGCACTCCCCCGGCACCCGCAGCCCTCACGGCACCTGTGGCGGCGCTGCCGTCCCCGCGGGGCCCCGGCCGGCTCTGCAAGCGCACATGTGTGCTGCTCTCCCTGCTTACACCTCTACACGGAGACCAATTCCGGCGCCCTCGTCCTTTCCGACGCCACCTCGGAGCGCAGACCTCCGCACGTAGCAAGGACGCAGAGCCAGCTGATGGGGAGCTGGGCCCCGGGTATTTCCTGTGGGGCAGCCACGGGCCTCTGGCCTCTGGCCTCCAGCATGCCTCTTGGGCTGTGTGGGGGGCTGTGGCTTTGTGTGGTTTCTAGAGAAATAAGTTGTGAGCAAACCAGCTTTTTTCAGGTTGTTTTTAAAGTTCTAAGTTGCCTTGTGTTTTAGGGTCATCAGGTCAACCCGTGATAACCTTGAAAGTCGTAGCCGTGGGGTGGTTGTCCTTGCCATGGAACAAGGGCCGTGTGCCGGGCCCTGAGCAGGAGGGCAAACAGCGCCAAGCCCCCGTGTGTGCTTGCCGAGCGGGGTGGCATCGGTGGGACGGTGGCGGGATGGTAGTGCTCACCGCTAGTGTCTGGCCGCCGCCATGCTCTGTGTTGGTGCCGGGTCGTCACTGTAACGCTTGCTGGTGAGAGAAGTTAGTGTCAGAGCACAGAGGGAGTGGCTCTTGTGAAAGTCAGGAGAAAGCAGCGAATTACTGGGTCACCTGGACAAGACAGCCCAGCAGAAGAGGGGGCTCATGCCCAGAGAAGGCAGTCTGACGGGAGAGGGCTCACATCAGCCCCAGACAGTCTGACGGGAGAGGGCTCTCAGGTCTGGTGACCCCTTCCTTGCTCAGTAGCAGGAACCGCAGCTTCCTCCTTCCCCGTGTCCCTGTGAGGTGCTGGGTGGAGGTGGACACCTGTCCCTGCTGTCCAGGCTTGTGGGGACCCCGTGTGAGCCTTCAAGTTCTAGGGAGTGGAGGGTGAGTGGGGGGCGTGGGAAACGGGCCTGCACGAGCCAGGCCTACAGATGTCTGCCTCTGCCGTGATGCGGGCTTCCTGCTGTGTAACCGTGTGGTGAAAAAACTGTCCCCTGGGCTGTGGTGGGGAGCATGCTGTCGCTGCACAGTAACTCCAGCAATGACAGGGTCCGGCACCAAGGTCAGAGTGTGACTTGGCAGATGCCAATGAAATGTGTTCATTTTAAAAGCAGCCGTAGGGTGGCTGTCACGTCCCAGTACCTTGAGCAGCAGATGGGCACGGACGGTCTGCGCGTGCTGGGGAGTAGGTCTCAGGCAGCACGTGCTGTTTCTGTGATGGTGCAGAGCAGGGACTCGACACAGGACAGGGTCGGGAGGGCCTAGGGTGGCCGCAGGAGGACAAAGGACATGCTGGCTGGGCGGCCGCCATGCCGTCAGGTGTGGTCCCAAGAAGTAGCCGCGGGCACCTCCCTGTCGTAGGGGCCTGCCACACGGTCCCTCAGTGGCACCCAGTCCTGAGCTCACCCCCAGTGGTCGTGGGCTGCAGTGTGGACTGGACAGCGTGGTCTGGCTGGCCTCCTGGCGTGGATATGGCAGAGCAGACCTGTCCCACACTCGGCTGCAGACACAGGAGCTCCAGGCGCTCCCGTGGCTCCGTGGCTGCTGTTAACTCCTGCTCGGTGACGTTTCTGCTCTTCTGCTTGGTTCACCTGTCTCCCGCAGGCTGGGGACTCGCTGGGTGACGGCGGCTCCGTCCTGGACTTCATGTCGATGAAGTCCTACTCGGACGCCTCTCTGGACATCTCCGCGCTCGGCTCCCTGGGTACGTTGCGTTGGGTGTGCTCACGTCGTCGGGCGGGAGGAAGCGCATCCTGTGTTCTTGTCCTTGGTGCTACCCTGGTCTGCAGGGCGGTCCCCGGGGGCACGGGGCTGATGCCCTTGCTTCCAGGAGCCTGGCTGCCATCCTCGGGACGTCCCCCTCCCCCCAGACCAGAGCTCAGCTGTCAGCACGGTGTTGGCTCGCACGCCTTGGAGTGTGCTGGGTCTCGTCTGACAGCCCGTCTGCAGCATGGAGCCGTCGGACCTTGTCCGTGTTTTGCTTGAGTGTTCTTAAGGTGGTCCCGAGCCACATTCAGTGCGGGGGGACGTAGTCTCCCCACTGGGCCGCAGCTTCCTGCAGACTTAGCCTGTGGATTGTTGCAGACACGTGTGAACTCCTGGGCCAGGTTGTGCCCCACCATCTACACACAGGTCCGTCTCGGCCTGGACCTGGGAGCTCGCCAGGCAGCCCATCTTCACCATCTTCACTCAGCCTGCCACAGCCTGGTCCCCGCTGGCTCTGGCCTGTGCCCTGTCCTGGCCTCGAGCACACACTGTCCTGCTCCCTGCTTGTTTACATGGTGGGACGACAGCTCTGTGAAACAGCTCTCTGGATTCTTGTCCACTCCGGGCGTCTTGCCCCGTCCTCCGAGCTTCCTTGTATTCCCCATCTTTGCGCATGTCGTCTGTGCTCCTGTGTGTGCAGAGCCGTGAGAGAGAGACCGGGCCGGCATGCAGCGCTGGCCAGGCCACTGGGTGCCTGATGTCCGTTTGCCTGTTTGCGCAGGGAAGGTGAAGAAGGAGCTGGACGCCGATGACGGCCATCTGAACTTGGACGAGACAGCAAAGCTTCTGCAGGATCTGCACGAGGCACAGGCAGAGCGTGGGGGCTCCCGGCCGTCCTCCAACCTCAGCTCCCTGTCCAACACCTCCCCCTCCGACAGGGACCAGCACCACCTGGGTAAGGTGGCCCCAGGCCCCAGCATCCGGTGGCACCTGGGAGAAGGGCAGGCCGCCAGCAATCCTGGCACTTCAGAGCTGACGCGGGCTGCGTGTCCAGCCCCCAGGACTCTGGGCCCTGCTTCTTCTCCAGGACGCCCCCTGGTCCCTGGGGTTCTGAAATAACGTCTCCCTCGCCAGGCGGCTGCATGGGGATTACTCTGTTAGGCGTTGCCGGTCTTAGCCATAAGATGCTGGCCATCCCCGTGTCAGGAGCCGCCCCAGCTGGCCACATCCCAAGGCCCTTGGGGCAGAACTAGGCCCCAGATGCTTGAATTCAAGTTTGGAGATGTTTTTTCCTGCTGTTCCCGTTTTTAGTCCTAAAATAGGATGTTGAGAAGTGTTTTGTTCTAGGACCCTGATTTGGGGAGAGCAGGTGACCTTCCCTGGCCTGGGGCTCTCTCTCTTCCATGAGTGACAGGGTGGTCGGTGCACGGACCCTGCGGGATTTCGGCCCCTCCAGGAAGGGGACCAGGTGTTGCTCCCTGACATTTTGAATTTGCTCAGTGAGCAGCCTGTGCTACGGTTCCGGTTTTCTGATTCTGGCACTGACTGTGCAGAGCCCCTCTTGACTTTGGGCGGTTAAGGGGTGCTTATCAGCTACAGACGTAGCTGACAGGTCGGGGAGGTGAGGGGGTGGCCCGGACCCTGGGAGGAGGCGGCTCGGGCTGACCGCAGTAGCGAGGACACGTTTTCAGCCGTGTCTGAAGCATGCGTGCGGACCCCTCGTGAGCCCCGTCTTTCCCACACTTGCAGGAAGTCCTTCTCGCCTCAGTGTCGGGGAGCAGCCGGAGGTGACCCACGACCCGTACGAATTCCTTCAGTCTCCAGAAGCTGCGGCTTCCGCGAAGAGCTAGCCTTGTAGATAGTCTTCCGTTTTTTAAATTCTTTTATTTGCATGTAACTGAGTTTTTGTCTTGAGACAAAGACTTTGATTTTGTCCCTTTTGGCGTGTGGGGGGTCATCTCCGGTATCATGTCGGCCGCGCACGGACCCAGTGTGTCTGCATCGCCCCGGGAGTCCTGAACAGTGGAGGTCACACAGTGCGCGGCCCGGTGGGGCCGAGCCCGTGTGTGTCCGAGCTTTGAGCTGTTGGCCCGCCCATGGGGCACGTCTGCCCCAGCGCCCTTCCCAGAAGCCCCTTGGGAAACAGATGCGCCTGTGGCAGGGTTCCTGCGTGTTCTCTGCCCTGCCCCCCACACCGCTGCGTCTCCGAAGGAGGTCATGGAGGGCAGCGCCCTCCTGGCCTGGGACAGGCCCCGCGCTGCTGGTTCCTGTGCTGGGCAAGGGCTGCCTTCTGCTGGAAGGCCACACGGCCACGGGCTGTGTCGGAGACCGTTTTATTCCGGTTGTGTTTACTGGATGCGTGTTCACATTTGCAGAACACAGAGAACTCAATAAAGGACCGAGGGTTTGCGTGTAATTGCCAGTAGCGCCCTGAGTATCGTCTCTGGGTGGCCTTGTAGCGAAGCCTTTGTCACAAGAGTCCGACCATGTCCGTTTGTGATGCTGACATCCCCCCTTTCCTCTGCGTCTGGCCTGGGCCTGCCCCCACAACGTCTGACCTCACCCACCCCGCATTACTTCTGCTTGTGTCCCTTTTTTGAAAACCAGACTGGGGGCTCTGTTCCGTCCTGGGGCGGAGTCCGTCCTGGGAGAGAGGGCGTGTGTGTGCCTGAGACGTGCCCCAGCCCACGGCACCGCTGCCTGCTGGGTGAGCAGGGCCCCTCGTGGCCGTCGGTGGGAGGGAGTGCAGCATCGCACAAGCGAGTGTCGGGCAGCAGCCGTGGCAGGGCTGGCCGAGGAACGAGGGGGGACGGAGCCTACACCCCGGCAGGCTGCAGGCCTGCCCTCAGCACCCCGGCTGCCAGGACGTTAGGAGGGGGGTTCTCTCTTCCCCACCTTGGCGTGGACTTCTCTAAGGTGAGGTTGTGGGCAGGGCATGGCCCCGATTTCTGGGGCTGGACTTGCCCTGCTGAACCCCTGCCTCTCCGTGGTCCTCTGCTGCGGTTCCCGACCATGCCTCCGACGTGGGCACAGCACCTGTTTGCGGGACCTGCTGAGACAGGAGGAGGCCCAGAGCCCCAGACCCACCCGAAGGGAGTGCTCTCTGCCTCGAGGGCCTCAGCAGTTGTGTCCGCAGCCGGAGACGCCGCTGCCTCCTGCCCATAGGCCGGAGCCGCAGACGGGCAGTTGGGCCTGGGAGGCTGGGGACGCTTGCACCCTGGGCACGGCCTCCGGAGAGCCAGCGGCTGCCGCTCAGAAGACACGAGCCCGCGGAAGGGAGGACCAGGGCGGCGTCTCAGGACAGGAGGACCCTCTGGCTGAGGATCTCAGGAAACTTCACGAGACGTAAAATTAGCCACCAGCCGCCTTCAGGTGCGCACCCGAGTGGTTTGGTGCCCTGGCAGTGTTGCGCAGCCGGCACTTCTGTTAACTGGGGAGTATTTCTGTCGGCCCGAAAGCAAAGCCTGTCCCCGAGAGCAGCCCCCAGCAGCCCCCAGTAAACGCTGCATTTCTGTTTCCCGTGAACTTCCTGCCCGGAACCCCTCGTGGTAGGCTCTCCCGCTCCGCGGCCTCCTCCCCGCAGCACAGCGGTTTTGAAGTTCTTATATGCGGAGTGTGTCGTTATGGGCCCAGGGACCCCTGCCCTTGCCATGGACCCCGCCTGGGCTCAGGCTGCTGCTGGCTATGTCAGAGCCATGAAAGGGGTCCTGGGGCTTGGGTCCTGTCACTGAGCTCTCTGCTCCAGGAAGCCGGCGGGATCGCAGTCAGAACCACGGATGCGCACGGAGGTCAGAATACTGAGCAGATGCCCAGGGTAGCAGGAGCGTCCCCGAGAGCCACACTGGCCAGGCATTAGCCACAGATCGCACAGCAGGACCCCAGCCCCTCACCCACACTGTTGCCGCGCCGGGGGGAGGCAGTCTGTGGGGTTGGCGCCATATGCTGGGGCTTGCTGTCCTGCTCTTTCTCCGCTGAAAGCTACACACAAAGCAAGACCAGCGACGGGGGGAGTTTACACACGTGTGGGGGTGTGTGCTCGTGCGGGCGCATAGGTGCCTTTGTTCATGCACGCGGGTCCTCCTGTGAGCACGAGCAGGCACGTTTTATGTCCGTGCGTGTGTGTGCGCGTGTGAGCGTGTGTGCACGTATCAGTGCGTGTGAGTGCCTGCGCCCACCTGTCCTGCACTCTGCCTCGCTCGCAGGCTTGGCCTTCCAGGAGGCGGCGTCTCTGGCGTGTGCACGTGGGATCACGGGCTTCAGGAAGCCCCGTGGCACACGTGTCCTGACTTTCTGGACACACCACTGTGCGCGGGGCAGGTCCTGGTTGCCCCGGGCAGGGGGCTGCGGCTCTGCAGGCTCTGGTTTTGTCTTCTCAGTGTTTTTGTGGCAAACAGGTGCCGACGTTTGCAGGTTCTGAAGTTATTTTCACGGAGCAGAGGGTCTCTGAGGGAAGGTCGTTTCTCAGAGATGTGAGTGGCTGCGGTGGTCACGGCCCTGGGTTGAACAGGAGGCCCCCGCTGCCTGTAGTCTCGGGGTGCCCTGGGCTAGCACCTCCTAGCCCCGCCCCACAGCGGCCTGGTTCAGGGTCTGCTGAGCTGGGGGGCACACAGGCCCCCCCATGGGGCAGCCTGTGCGCAGGGGTGTCTGGAGAAGCGAGTTCTGGGCGGGAGTCAGGTCGCTCATCATCGTTTCCCGAAAAGCTCTCCGGGGTGTAAGACCGTACCTCGCGGCTTGAGCGGTGCACCAGGAGCAGGACCTGCGGCCTCGTTGCCGACACACTTCCCACTGCTGGCTCCCGGCCTCTGGCCCCCTCGCTCCGCGGGGCCCCCATGTCGGGCCCCATCTCCTCCGGTGCTCCTGTGGTCAGACAAGGCTGCCAGGACAAGGGTCCCTGTCACCCCCAATGGAGGCTTTGCTTCTTGAGGTCTCCTGGGACGTGTTGGGCAGGAGGAACCGGTGAGCAGACCCAGACCAGAAGTAGCCTTGGCGCCAGCCTCGTGGCCCAGCTCCCTGCCCCGCACAGAGGTCCTCAGGCTCCCTGGGAGGGCTCTCCTGGCTGCGTGTTACGTGGTCAAGCTTCCCTCCAAACCGGCCCCGAACTCCCGCCCACTGGTTTCTCTTGGGCCTGGCCCAGCTGCCCCATGAGAGGCACATCCCCGGCCACCACAGGTGCCACACACGGTGCGCCTGGGAGGTGGCTCAGCCCATCCGGCTGGGCTGGCTTCCCCAGGGAGGCGTGTGATTCTGGGGACAGGGGAGCCCTGCTGTTCCCCCACCCAAGGAGGGTATCGGGATCTGAGAAGGCCACGTGGGGGGTCCTTGGACCTAAATGGGCCTGGAGATCTCCTGCGCTGGACCGTTGAGACCGAGGGAGAGGCAGGGAAGGGGGTTGCTGAGCCATCCTCGGGAGAGACCCCCTCCGGCACCCTGTCCACATGCCCCTCACCCCCTCCTCATCTCCCACTCTGGTCCTCTGGCCACTGAGGGGCAGACTCCGGATGCTGCCATCCCTCCTGACCTGGATGGAGCGTGCCAGCCTGGGTCCCCAGAGCAGACAGGCCAACAGGTCAGGTGTCATGAGGACCTGTGAGATCGATGGCCCGGCCGCTGAAGTAGGAGGTTGGGGGGCCAGGAGCCTTCCGCTGGCTACCGAGGGCCTGCCGTGGGTGGCAGTGTAGTCAGAGCTTGGGACCGTGTAGACGGACTCCTGGCTGGTGGCCTGGCCTGTCGGGGGCCCCCGTGCCTTCTCTGCACCCCCTCCCCTCCCCCCAGCAGGCAGCGGGGCTCTGGGAGGCCAGCCCTAGCTTTGTGAGGCACCTTCGTGGGTTCCATTGCTGCCGTGGCAACCAGGGAGGTAGGTGCCTCCTGCTTGTGCCGTGACCAGGGAACCTGCAGGCATAACCTCGGCGCATCCCAAATGGGAGAGCAAAACAGTGACTGGGGAGCTGTGAGGACCTGTGTCGGGTGACGGGGTTCAGGGGGTCACGTGTGCCCAGGTGGGGGCACCCAGGACTCTGTGTTCTAGGGAGCGCAGGGGGACAGGCAGGATGTGGAGGGGTGGTGGTTCCAGCCCCTGCCTCCTGCCTCCATCGTTGGGGATAGCGGCGCCCGCATGTAGCTCCTACAGGTTGGCCCTGCTTGCGCTGGACATGTAGCGGTGGCCGTGCTGTCCAGGAGCATCGAGGCACCCACACGTCTTGCTAGAACCCTTAGGCATGACCCAAAACAAACGCCAGGGCCCCCGCTGGGGCTGAAAGGGGACCCAGGCCTGCCCGAGCCCACGGCCACGTCTGCACAGTAGGGGAGGACGGCGTTCGCTTCCTGCAGAGCAGGGCGAGGGGCTCGTTAATGGCATTTACAGAAGGAGTCGGTGAGGGCCCGGCTCAGACTGGACGGGGGCGTTAGGGAGGTCACCCAGAGGGTGACACTGGGACAGGTGCAGAAGGCAAGAAAGGGCTGCGAGCGGGCGTAGGGGACGCAGCTCCAAGCCCAGGGAAGAGCCCAGGGAAGAGCCCAGGGAAGGCCAAGGAGGTGAAGTCCAGAACCCCCGTGTGCCTGCAGGCTGCGCTGTGCTGTGCACGCTTCTGTGCGTGCGGTGGTGTCACGTGTGCTGTCACACGTGTGGCGTGTGCGTGTCGGCACGGTGGTGTCTGCATACGCGGAGCCCGTGTGAACCATGCCCGTTCCGCCCCAGGAGACCGGAAGCGTCACGTTTGTCGGGAGCCGGGGTTTGGTTGTGGGTTAGAACTGACGTGACCCCCAGGAGCTAAGAAGGTTCGCACTGCAGAGCGGGTGAGGGACCACGCGGTGTCCGTGAAGGGGGGTGTGTGAGCCAAGGCCTGCCATGGGAGGGGCCAGGGTGAAGCTGCCCCGTGGCCCCGACGTGGTCTCTCCCCAGGACCCCCATCCGCCCCGCCTGGCCTGCGGCTCTGTGACTGTGAGGAAGTGGGTGCCCCGCGCAGGGCCCGGGGGTGATGCTCCACGCGCGCCGTCCTCACGCCTGTGCCATAACCCGGATGCGTGTGTCTGCCGTGGGGTTTGGCCCTCGGCACCTCCCGGCTTCTCTGGGGCACTTGCGGGTGTGATGCGGGGAGCTTCTCGGAGCCCTCTGAGGAGCGGGGACCCATGTCCCGGGAGGCCTCACGCCTGGCCCCCGCGCTCTCGAGACCCTTGGCTGGAGCTGTCTCGCTTGAGACTTCTCAGAACCTCAGGAGCCGCTTGTTTAAATTTCACAAATTCCTGTGGCTGTTGAATTTGGGGCTTCCCCACGAGGTCATGGTGACATTTCCGTCCTGGGACCCCCTGCAGGATGGGGGGCTGTGCTCATCCTGGCCAGTGCAGGTGGCCCTGGGACTGACCTCCGTCCTCATGTCTTGCTCCTTCCCCAAGATAAGTTCCCCATCTCTGTTGTCCCATCACTTAGGATTCCTTCCTTGGTGTCACTGGTTTGCCTCCCCCTCCCAAGGTCCACGTGTGCCCTGGATCTGACTCCCCCTCCCTTTCTGTTGGTTCTCCCTCGCATCTAAGTGTTGCTTTGGGGACGATATGGGAATCACGTGGCAGAGCAGGTCCCTGCCCCAGTCCCAGTGTGCTGGTCTTGCTGTCCATGGGGGATGCTCTCTGTGGGCCCCCGGGGGTCTCACTGACTAGGGAAGCCCCTCCTGGCCTCACATCCTGAGAAAGGAGTGGCCAGCCTGTGGAGAGCAGCCGAAATCTGCCCTCATGCGGCGATGCCCCCAGGACCCTCAGGGCTCCGCCTCCCGTGGCTGTGATGGGTCTCTCGCCCATTCCCTCCGCCTTCCGCCTGGCCAGAAGTGGCCGCCACTCCCTCCCAGCCCCTCCCCTCAACCCTGGTGGCCTGGAGCGCCTGGAGGCCCCGGAATCCCGCTGGCCCGTAGGTCTTCACCCTGCAGTGAGAGCAGCGCGGTTCTCTGGGAATGTGGGATCTTGTTCTGTCCTTAAGGGAAAATCGTAGAAAGATTCTCGGAGGATTTCAGGCACATAGAAGCGTCACCTGGTCACCGAAGCAAAGGTCTGCTTTTCCTGCAGACTTTTCCTGTGTTTCCCTGGTGACGAGGGCCTCCTGATGGGGGTCTCCTTCCTGCCTGTGATGGGTCTCCTCCTGAGTCCGAGTCTCTCTGTAAACAAAGCCCGTGCCCATCCCTGGAGGCGACCACGGCCACAGCCACACTGGGGTGGGGGCGGATGCCTCTCCTGGGTCCTCTGCCGTGTGGGCCACGCACGCTCAAGCGTGTTAGTGCAGTTGTCTCTCTGCTGTGGGCCGGACAGACACAGGATCCCCTGGGACCCTGGAGGGCCCTCCAGCCCCCACCTGCCCCCAGAGGTGGACCACCCGGGGCCCCCTTGCCATACAGCTGCGGGAGGCGTCCATGCTCGCCTGTCTGGCCCTCCTCCCGTCTTGTAGATGGATTTGTGTGGCAGGAGCTGGAGACGGGTCGTCCCAGAAGCAGGGGGCAAGCGGCCCTCGCCCCCCAACAGGTCCCGAGTGAATGGCTGGTCGAGGCCCCTGCATTCCTTCCAGGCGGTGGCCTGGGTCACGGTCCTCATCCTGGCCGTCGCCAACTTTGGCATCTTCATCCCCTTCCTGCCACGGGACTGGAAGGACGTCGCCTACGGTGTATCCTTTAATGTGTCCAAGGGGGGCTCCCAGGGGCCTCCACTAGAGCTGGCTCAGGCCACACGTGCCCTCTGGGCCCCCTGCCACTCCATCCTGTGCACCCAGTCGCCCACGGGTGCGGCATCTTGCCCTCTGACCCCGCCCCCCTTCACCCCAGATAGGCCCTGTGGCCACAGCACCGATGGATCCCTACGTGTGTTCCCGTGTGGCTCACGGGAGCGGGGTCCCAGCTAAAAGCAAGACTTGCCCTCCGTCTGTTCAGGGAGAACGCTCCTGGTGGCGAGGTGCAGAGGGACCCTGGAGTGGGGCGGAGAGCCCTGAGGACATGAAGGAGTCACACGGCCAGGACAGACGTGCTAACACAAACGGGCACGGTCCCGCATCAGCCACGCATGGGGTCGCGCAAGCAGATGCTTGGGAAGAAGGCTTTCTGGCTCGCATTTGAGCAGCCCACCCAGCTCAGGGACCGCAGCCTGTCTCCCGGGGACGTCCGCATGTCCGCTGTGGGCTGGATCCCGGTGGCTGGGTGGGAGAGGCACGCCAGGGACCCAAGGGGTGTTTTCAGGGGACACTCATGGTGACAGTGGCCCGTTTTCAGCTGCTCGTCCCCCTGCTTTCTTGTTTGGCCCCTTCTTGTGGCCTAAAAACCTGCCGGTGGGCAGTGGCTGGACCTGCAGATAGGGAGGCTGCTGGCCACTAGGACCCACCACACAGGCCATGGTGGAGGCCGGCAGTCCCATGGTGGCCCTGAGAGGAGGCTGCCAGTGTGTCACCAGAGCAGCTCCAGGCTGGGTGGGCAGACACTGGGGACGTGGATGCACACGGGGCTGTCACACAGACGGGGAGGGTCCGGGAGCTGCCAGTGCTGTGCTCGCCCTACCCCCAGCCACCAGCAACACCGGCCTTGATCCCTCCTCACACCTTACTCTGTGGGTTGCGGATCCCAGTGCCACCCATGTCTCCGTGTCGGGGGCCCTGACCGGGCTGACCTCCGCCTGCGGGGCCCCCAGCGTGTCTGGTCCACAGGAGTGGAGCCGGCAACACGGGCCCCGCCCCAGGCCTGCGGTAGGGGCCTGTGCTCTGGCCACTGGGGGGCGCCGCGGTCCTTCGTGTCTGCAGGGACGGGCCTGGCCCCATGGAGGAGGCTGGGTGGGGTCGCAGCTTCCGGAAGACAGCCCAGCCCTAGCAGGCCTTGGCTGACCCTGGGGGTCTGAGCTCCCCCCATACCGCAGAGGGAAGCAGCGCCACCCATAGGGTCCGCTGTGCAGAGGGCCGGGCGTCGGACGGCACTCCACGCGGTCCAGGGGCCTGTGTTGTGGCTGGGACCGTGCGGTGACATCCTGCTCTGAGTCCAGTGCCGGCGTGAGGCGGACGTGCCTGGGGCAGCGGGGGCTCAGGGGTGCGCCTCACTTCCTGCAGCAGAACCGGAAGGACGGGAGGGCGTGTGTCCGGGCTGGCGCCGCCGCCACTTTACCAAACACAGGCTGTTGCTAGGGGACTGAGGCCTCCGGGCCAGGGCCTCCCGCTCGCCAACAGTGGGACCTCCTACCCCGCTCTTATGACTTGTCACTCACGGGAGCCCCAGACACTCAGGCGATGGCACTTGAAAGTGAGCGTGGCAGCTTGGCGTGGCACCGCCCATGACACTCTCGGTGCTCAGCCCGTGCTCGCTGACACCGGGAGTGAGGAGCTGACCCAGCGAGTGGCCAGGCAGACTGCTGTCGCCTTCTGCTGGTCCGTGTCATTCCCATGATTTACCTGGGGTCACCGGCTTGAGCACTGGGAGGCAGTAGGTCAGACAAGCTGGTGGGCTGTGTTTTTGCTTGGAAAGCCTCGTGTTTAGGGGGCTGTGGGGGGACTTAGCCTACCGCATGGGGGGGCTGGAAGCCGCACCCCTTGGCTCCTGATGGGCAGGTTCTGGGAGCACCTGCGGGGTTGGGACATCTGGGGGAATCAGCGGCAGGCGGCTCCATGTGGCTGGCCCAGTGGCTCGGGTCAGGGGCCTCAGGCACCTGCACTTTGAGGGTCAGAGTATGAGTCGTGCTGTCCCCACACTGTGTCCCCGGTGGTGGTCTCGTGCAAGCCCTGTGTAGCTGTGGGGGCAAAGGACTTCAAGCACACATCCCAGCCCTGGCCTTGCCTGCTGCCCTCCTGTGCTCCCTCCCCGGCACCTTGCCCGCCCGTTTCTGAGGCAGGCGGAGGAAGGGGCCCGCACCTGGGCCAGCAGCTGGACCCCCTGCAGCGTCAGACTGTCCTGCGCCCGCTGCTCCTGCAGCCTCCTGTTGCCCCGGTAACCACACGAACATGCCTAGGGTCTGGCCAGCGCCTCGGGCTTCAGGGAGCAGGTGCAGGGGGCAGGCACGCCAGCAGTTGTCTCCAACTGTGACCATGAAGTCCGGCCCCGCCACTGCCCCCCCTACCCCGCCCTCGCTGATTCACGCCCTGCATGGAACAGGCCGTGGTCGGCTCAGACTTGGAGCAGGGGAGGCCCACGCCCTAGCCAGCCCTGCAGGGTCGGTGGCTACATGAAGTGTCCCAGTGTCACTGCCTCCTCTCCACGTCCCTGAGGGATCTGGTCAGTCCCTTCCCCACTAGGGAAAGTTCTCAGCCGCCCCTCCACCTGCCCCCGGCCTGGGAACCAGCTTCCTGGTCTGACTGCCCGCCCTCCGCTCATCCTTACCCATCCCCCTGACAGCGATGCTCGCCCAGCAGGCCTGGCTCCCCTTCGCCTCCGTGCCCACAGCGGGCACCAGAGTCCCGTGTCTACACTGGCACTGAGGCTAGAGGAAAAGGGGCAATGAGCAGGTCTGGCCAGAAGCAGCCTCCTGCCCGGGGTTGTGGTGCAGCAGCCTTTGCGGCCACAGGCCCACGCGCAGGTCGGAACCGCTGCCAGCTGGGTGGCTGACCCCAGATCACAAGAGGGGCAGAGCCTGAGAAGGATCCCACGGGGGCTTTGCAGGACAGAGTTATGACCTCAGCCCCCTGCTCAGAGCCCCCGCTCCTCCCCTCCAAATCATGGCAGAGCCGGGTGCCCACGGCCGGCCATTTCCCGCACCACACCCTGGATCCCGGCCTGGAGCCCTGAGCCAAGAGCCGGCCAGGGAAGCAGGGCAGGGCGGACAGGGAGGCGGCCTCCCCCGCTTCTGTTTGGTTTCCATGGGGACAGTGTGTTGGTCCCGAGGTGGAGGAGGAGGAGAGGATGAGATCCCAGGGCCTGGTTTCACCCTGGGCGCCATGGAGGGAGTGGGTGCTGGAGAGCCCGAGGGGCTGGGGCGGGGAAGCCGAGAGCAGACGGAGGCAGACAGGGCAACCCCGCGTCCCACGGGCACTGGGTGTGGGAGCCCTCCCTCCCCACCCTTGTTTCTGGATGACCCCACACGTGCTCTCCCAGCTGCCTGAAAAGCCCCCACGCCTCCTTTAGCACCCAGCATGGGCACCCCCCCCCGCGTTGCACGTTCAGGTCACCGGCAGGTGCCCCCAGGGCCCGCTTCTGCCGGAAATCCCCTCTCCAGTGCGAGTGTCCGTCGTGGAGGAAGGAACAGGGCGCACTCCGTTGACCGCGGCGGCTGTGAGTTGGGCCAGTGCTGGAACCCGGCTCTCAGCCCGGCACTCTGCTCCCATGGCGCTGGCCAGCAGCCGCCCTGGGTGGGGACCAGGCCCAGCCGCGAGTTCCTTGACGCTCCTGCCCCAGGTGACCGGCGGACTCTTCTTTCTGCACTTCTCCGTCCACCTGCTTGCAGTTTCGATCGACCCGGCCGAGCCCAACGTCCGGCGCAAGAAGAACTACTCGGAGCCTGTGCCGACCTTCGACCGGTCCAAACATGCACATGTGATCCACGACCAGTACTGCCACCTGTGTGAGGTCACCGTGTGCGTGCCCGGGTGTGGGCGTGGGCGGGGCCAACGGTCCCCTGCCCAGCGTGGTGGCTGGCCTGCGGAGGACACGCCTGTTCCCAGGCTGCTGGCTGGCGCGCTGTCCTTGAACGAGAAGCAGTGGCTCTCAGATGCGCCGGGCCCCTCGCCCAGCAGATCTCTGCCCGGGCTAGTCGTGGCTTCTGTGGGCAGCCTGGGCGGGAGGCCCGTGGCTCAGGGTGGGGTCCGAACCCAGCCTCCAAGCTGGAGCCCTGGCACCTGTAGTGGGCGTGGTGAGGGGACGCCACCCCTCTGGAGTCCCGTCCTCCGTGCTCCCTGCCTCTCCCCTGCAGGCGGATGGGGGCGCGGACCGCACCTTCTTCCCGTAGGTGCTGCCGGCAGGCTGATGCTCCCACGTTCCCCCTCTCAGGAGCCCAAAGGCCAAGCACTGCAGCGCGTGCAACAAGTGCGTCTCGGGCTTCGACCACCACTGCAAGTGGCTCAACAACTGTGTCGGGGGCAGGAACTATTGGTGAGCGGCCGCGGGGGCTTGTGGGGTGGGCAGGGCCCCAGGAGGGCCCTCCTGCAGGCTGGGGGGGCCTCACAGGATGAGCACGCGGGCCGCAGGCTGGCTGCAGGGGCTCACGCGCTGCCCCTCTGTCCCCCACTGGGGGCCGTGAGAGGTCCCAGCCCTGCAGAGGGGCAGGGGCGGAGCTGCAGGGTTTTGAGGTGCTGGCCTGGGCACGGCCACCTCCTCCCAGGGATGCCATCCGAGCACAGAGCACGGGACTGGGCTGCCCTGGGAGCAAGCGTCCAGGCCCGGTCGGGCTCAGGGCCAGGGCCTGTGAGCGTCAGCAGGAGCCCGCGGCTGGAGCCTGGGCTCTGCGTGGCCAGGAGAGGAGCGGCGCTCCCCATGCTCGTTCACACTGGCCTCCGCTGGCTGGTGATGCAGCTGCCAAGGGGGTCCCCTGCGTACCCACCACCCCCTGCCGATGAGCCGTGTGCACCCGTCGCCGAGCGGGAGGACCACGTGAGAAGTGCGCGGCTGGCTCAGGCCAGAGGAGCACTGCAGCTTTGAGCAGAAGGAACTGGAAAGCTCTCCTAATTAGAGACGCCCAATCAGCATCCGGTGACTAGGGGTGCCTGGGAGCCCCCGTCCCGCCGCCTCCCTGCAGAAGAGGAGCCCCTGGCCCTCCAGGGTAGGGCAGGCGCCCTGTTCACACTAGCAGGGCTCTCTTCTCGCCCTGGACACACATCCTTAAGGCCTTGCGGCCGTGAGCTGGTCCCCCTGAGGTTCAGCCGTTGGGAGAGGGAGGCCCTGCCACGGAGGAGGACCGAGGGGGCCAGGCCCCACAGCACACAGGCTGGAGCTCAGGGGTCCTGACGGGGCCCGGGCACAACAGGCTGAGGGGGTTCCCTGTGGGCCGAGAAGCCTCTTGACCATGGGGGAGCCGTGGAAGCCAACCCGGCAGGTCCTCACAGAGAAAGTGCTGGGTTGGGGGCCGGGGCTCTGCAGACGCGGGAGTCAGGCGAGGAAGCCATGTTTCGTGTCCTGAACATTGGCGGGACGGGCTCTGGCCCCCAGCCGGGTGGGAGGGCTGCAGCTTGCCAGCTGACGGCTCGATAGGACGGCCCAGGGGCTTCCTGTGTGGGGCAAACCCACCGCCTGCCGGGACTCCCTGGAGACCAGAACCAGGTGTGGGGCCAGGCCTGTGTCCCCTGCAGCTTAGGGACACCCAGGAGGCTGGGCCTGCGTGGGATCGCACAGGAGACGCCCCTCAGGGAACTGAGTGAGGGGCCACAATGTGACGGCATCTCCCCTGGACCCCTGGGCCGTGCTCCACATCTAGCCGACCCTGTGGGAGTGCCCACGTTTTAGCTCTCCACCTAAAGATGTGTGTAAAAAGCCCTCCAGAAGTTCTGGAAAAGCTTCATGGGATCAACAGAATTTCAGCTGAAGAAAACGTTAAAGGAGTGGTTTCCTCTAAGGTCACGAGAGCAGAAAGCCCTCGGGAAGACTGTGGGAGCAAATTCCAAGAATGCCCACCACAGTTTATGTTCTGGACGGACGGACCATTCTCGGGGTCTTTTGAGCACAGGCAAGGGGGGCAGGAGTGATTTCAGTCTGATGGCAAAGCACAAAGCCAGGCCCAGGGAGGGCGCGTGGAGCTCAGCCACCACGAACCAGACCCGGCCAGGCACCTGTCTTGTGCACCCCCCCGGCCTCCTGAACCAACGGATGGCCTTGATGGAGGACAGTGCTAGGACCCCACCGTGTGTCCATACCCAGTTCCGTTCAGCAGCAGCCGTCACTACCCCAACTCCAGGCTGAGGCCACGAGGCTCACTTTACGCAGTTCTGTGACTGCCGGGAGTGGTGGCCGTGCTGTGGTGGGATCCGGTGCCCGCCCCACCGGGCCCAGAGCCTCTGTGTCCCTGCTGTGAGCCAGGCGGCCCCTCCTCTCCGCCTTGCAGGGGCTCAAGGGGGCACGTGTGAGGATCCCAAGGCACAGGAAATGGAGGTGCCGTCAGGACGGCCGCAAAGTGGCGGTGTCCCCCAGAGAGCTCCCATGAGGCTCAGGGGCAGGAGACGGGAGAAGGCAGGGTCCTGGGTTCAGGGCCAGGCCACCCCGTACCGCTTGCTGCGCTTCCTGGCTGCGGGTCTTCCGGCCCTGAGCCCGGCACTGACCCTGCCTCTCCCGCAGGTACTTCTTCCTCTCCGTGGCCTCCGCCTTGGCCGGGCTGCTCTGCCTCATGGCCGTCCTGCTCTACGTCTCCATCCAGTTCTTCATCAACCCGGCAGAGCTCCGCACGCACCCCTGCTACAAAAGTACACAGCATCTCCTCTGTGACGTTGCTCCCTCTTGGGTCACTCGCAAGTGTTAGCTTGTACCTCCAGCCATCTTTGGGGTAAAAGCCTTCCTTCCGGGGGGACGCCAGCCTGGCCTGCCCCCAGCTGGGTGAGCGGCGTGGCCGGGTAGGAGGGCAGCGGCCCCCGACACCAGGAGGAGGTGCGGGACCCGTGGGTGCCGGCTGCTTGGGGGCTGTGCTCCCAGGTCGCCCCAGGCATTGGAGGGGAGCCCTCTTCCCCGGTGCCCTGCAGTTGGTCTGGGTGGGGAGCAGGGTAGGGTTGGGGAGGGCAGGGCTGCCCAGGGATGGGTTCTGGGTGATATATGGCTGCAGGTCTCTGCTAAGTGGGGGCAGGAGCCCAGCCTTAGGAACAGATGTGAGGTTGGATGTGGCCTCAAAGATACGTCCATGATCTCACCCCCGGACCCATGACTGTGACCTTACTTGGGGAAAGGATCTTGAAATGATCACTGAGTACCCAGGAGTGTGTGTGGAGGGGCACTGGGTCCGTTGAGAACATCTTTATGAGACTGGAGGGACACAGCCACAGCCCAGGGGTGGCTGGAGCCCCAGCAGCTGGAGGATTCAGGACAGATTGTCCCCCACAGCCTTGGAGGGAGCTGGGACCCACCACACCCTGACCTCCACACAGCATCTCAGTTCTTAAATGGCCAGTGTGTGGCCATGGGCCACAGCGGCCCGGATACTGATGAAGGTCCCCCAGTGGACCACCTGCATCTGTCTGGAGTGTTGGGGGACCTAAGCCTTTAGGGCGCAGACCAAGGCCGCCTGTCTCAGCCCAGGCCCCTCTCCAGAGCGCATCATGGCCCAGCACGTAGAGCAGAACAGAGGACCTTGTCGCTCAGCTCAGAACATTCCAGGACCCCCCACTCTGCCCAGGCTCTAACATCTCTGCAAGGCCCAGCCTCGGGTTCCGGAGCAGGTCTGGACAGCGCCCTCCTCCCGGGGAAGTGAGCGGCCAGCCGGCCCACGGGGCCAGTGATGACCCCACATCCCCCTTCTCCAGAGCCTGTGCTGTTGGAGGGCTCCCGCTGCCGTCCAGCCCAGAGCCCGGCTGCCCTGCGCCTCTTCCTGGGGGCGCTGTGCCCCGTGCACCCTCGCCCCGAGGCCCACACAGCCCCTGGCAGAGCCGAGCCCTTGCGGCATGGACTGTCTGATCTGCCCCTGCCTGGAAACGCGTCTGGGTCCTTTCTGTGGAACAGCGGAGCAGTGGGGCCTCGGCGAGGCTGGTCCCCACTCAGCGGACCGGCTGCTCAGGCTCTGTGCGCAGCCGGCGGGAGCCCCCCGCCTGCCATCCTTCCCAATAGTCTCCACGCACAGCCTCCAGAGCAGTCAGGGCTGGGCACGGGGGTTCCACGTGAAGGCCCTCCCCACCACGGGGTCTCTCAGTGCCCCTCCCTGCTCCAAAACGTGGCTCGCACCTGGAGAGCGGTGACCTCTGTGCAGCCAAGTGCCCCCATTAGCACCTTGGCGCGTTTCCTTATGGCCTCCCGTCCTGGGCATCAGCCGGGCCGTGCTGCAGTGAGCTGTGGGGACAGACGGTGGGGTGACTGCTGGAGCCCAGCAGCCTCTGGCCGCAGCAGGTGCACAGAGGCCAAGTGACCTTGGCTTTTCTCTGGGACCTGCTGGCTCTGGAACCACAATGGGACCAGCTACATGTGAGAATGCCTGAGGAACGAGGCGATGATCTGGGTGTGCTGTTCCGGAAGATTCCAGGGGGCTGCATAACCGCCAGTTTCCTGCGACACTTTGCTGTCATTGGTGGGAAGTCATCGAAACCTCACCAGCTGAGGGGACAAGCGTGGGGTCGGCCAGCTCCACGCACATGGCTCTGCAGCCCCCGAGGCCTGCAGTGACGCAGCACAGCGGGCCTGGCTGCCACATTTTGGGGCTCCACACAAGGGCCTGGGGTCGGGGCATTTCAGCCAGAATTCCGTCTCGGGCCTGCACGTTCCTCAGCGCTTTCCTTACACTTAATTTTGCAGTGCAGGCGGCCACGCTCTGGAAATGCCCCGAGGTGCTGGCCACGGCCTTCAGGGTCTCTGGGAGAGTGAGCCTGGCTGGTTGAGGGTGGGGACAGTCTGGCAAGGACCGACGAGGATCTGGCTGATGGGCAGGTTGGGTGTGGGGGCCGGGCATGGGGCCAGGCTCTGGGACCTGGACACTTGGTCCCCCTCCTCCAGCCCCAGAAAGTGGGATGGAAGAGAGCTGCAATGGCACTTAGGTAAGGCAGGGCACACACCCGGGTGAGGAAGAGGGGCTCCCTGGGGCTGGTTTCCTCCTCCTGCCGCCGCGCTCTGTCTCCTGAGGAGAGGCGCAGCCATGCCATGGGTGCCAGACATCGTGCGTGTCTCCCTTGCCTCCACAGAGGTCTCCAACAAGAACACCTGGCTGCTGTTCCTCCCCCTTTTCCCTGTAAAGGTGAAGACCCCCGTGGTCCTGGGCATTGGGGTGTTGGTGCTGCTGTTGGACGTCATCGGCCTCCTGCTGCTGGGGCACCTGCTTGTCTTCCATCTGTATCTAAGTACGTGTCCCAGCCTGTATGTCTGCCTGTGCCAAGGCAGATGATGGCTCAGCTGGCCGCTGCCAGAGAGGAGCACAAAAGACAAGTCAAGATGAGAAGAGACACCCCTCGAGGGACAGCAGGGCTGGTTGTGTCCTGAGACCTGCAGAGACCTCGAGTTAGAAGGTTCAGAGATAAAGGAGTGGAATCTGAGGCAGGAACAGGGCACTTTGAAAAAAGAACAGGGGATTTAGAAAAGCACCAAATCCTAACAATGAGAAACCGCCAACCAGGGCCGGAGTCTCTGCTGGCCAACCTCGCCGCAGGGAGACGGGTGGTTTTCTGGTGTCCACATGGCACTGCATGCTGTGGCTCCACCGCTCCCTGGCACAGGGACAGGACATCTGCACCCCATGAAGCCCTTCCTTGAACGTAGATGACGCTCTGTGGTCTGGATGTGGGAGAGGCCAGCACCGGTGGGCCCTGTGCAGCTGCTGGAGCCAGTCTAGTGCAGGGAATATCCTTGTGTCCTCTGTGGAGCCAGGGCCAGATCGACCCAGGCCCTTCTTAAAGCATCCACACACTGGCCAAGGGGACGGGGTGCATTTGGGGACACAGTCACAGCATACGTGATAGCCAGCAGGTGGCTAGTTGGGCAGGTCCAGAAGCCTGCTGCAGCCAATCAGGATGGACAGATGCAAGACTGAAGGACAAGTCCACAGGGCTCCTGGTCACCTGCAATCTGGGGACAGGGAGCAACAGGCTCTAGCTCAGGCACCCGGAGTGTGGTGGTGCCATACTCACTATGGGCGTGCACAGGAGACCCCCGGAAGGGAGAAGCACACTGAGCTTAGGGCTCAAGGTGTTGCGGATAGGGGATTTGGACATCAGAGAAGAGACCTCCAGAACAAAGTGGGGATATTAGCTCTTGTTAGTCACAGTAAAATTACCCCAAAATGTAGGCACTTGAGACAACAGTCTTAGTGCCTGGCAGTTTCTGTGGGTCCCTTGTCCCATCATGTGCCAGGAGGGGCTGTGGTCTCATCTGACAGGGGACGATCCACTTCTAGGGTCATCACCAGGGCAGTGGCAGGTCAGATCCTGACCTTGGCTCCTTGTGAGTTGGTAGCCAGTGCCTCCTGCCATTCCTTGTTGTGCGGACGCTCCAGCTCGACAGAGCGTCCGACAGGGCAGTGGGCTTCACCGGAGCAGGCAAGAGGGAGCAAGGCAGAGCCAGTCTTTTGTAGCGCAGTCATGGGAGTGACACCCCATCACCTCTTCTGCAAGGCACTGGGGTCAGCCTGCTCGCCAGAGGGTGGGACCACGTGAATGCCCTGAGGTGGGGGGACTGGGGGCTGGCAGCTAGATGCTCCACTCTGGAGCTTGGGAAAAGGACACCCAGATGAGTCTGCAGCACAGGAGGAGGAGTGGGAATGCTGGTGAGGGCAAGCTGTCCCGGAAAGAGGCGCAGATGCGGGAGTGCCAGCGGCAGGGGTTAGGGAAAGCCACCTTCACACAGGTGGGGGATAGCCTCCCGAAGGACAGTGGCTCTGAGCTCCCATGCTAGAGCCTACTAAGGCCAGAGCGAACACGGGGGACACTCGGTGCACACTGTGCTCTGGCCTCGCTTCCTCGACTGCCTCTCCTCTCGTTACTGTCAGATGGAAGTGTGCCACAAAACTCAGGAGTGTGAGCTCTGGGAGACACGCAGCGTGTGCTTACCCTCCGACGGTGATGGTGGCCGGGCAAATCTGGGTAAGGGATGGGAGTTTTCATTAGCATGTAACCAGGTGCAGCTCTGTACCCTCAAACCCACACAGGTTCTGAGGGATGTGAAGAGTGCAGTGAGAGCCAGGAGGAGTTAATTGAGAAAGAGAAGCCAAAGCAAACAAAAGCAGAAGTGCTTGCACAAACCACCAGGGAAGGGGATGGGCTGTGCTCTGCCCGCACTCACCCCACCTGGGAAGCAGCCTCTGGGGGCTCCACAGGGCGTGGGGAGCGGCCCGCCCTCCGTCTGCTCCTCGAGCTGCAAATAGGCTTCTGTGGGTGGCCTTTCTCACTTTCCGGAAATAAATAGAAACCATCTGTCCTCATGCTTGTTGGTTTCAGGAAAAGGGTAATGGGGAGTTGGGCACCTCCCCTGAGGTGAGTGGCTGAAGGGCACAGGGCCCATTCACGAACCAGATGTTCTTTCAGCAACCTCGGGTGCCACTGCCACGATACTGGAGCCAGTGGCCCGGCCCAGCTGTGCTGGGCATAGCCCTCAGCGTCAGTCCACATGGACTTCGGAGGCCTGGGAGGGAGGCAGGGCAGCTGCTCCCAGGGTGGGGGGGCCCAGGCCTTGGGGGTATAAGGAACTGCTGTCTGCTGCCCACAGGCGAGATGAGCTCTGGAGTGGCCATCCAGCAGCCCCCCCACCTCCCAGTGTTCCAGGTTAAGCAGCAGCTCCCAGCACCCTGGGGGAGCCCTGGAAGGCCAGGTTGTGGCACATGGGCCACTCTGCTTGCTTGTGTCGTCATAACTGTGTGTTTCCTTCACACTCCTCTCTAGTGGCCAAGAAGCTGAGCACGTTTGACTACATGACACAGGGCCGCCAGCAACAGACTCCAAGAGCTGCAGCAGAGAAGGAAGAGCTGTCCGTCCAAAGGAGACTCCCACAGGTACCGAGGTGCCCCTCTTCTTCACCACTCCTATTATGCAGGCCTGGGAGAATGCCCAGGGTCACCTTGTAGCTGGGACTTCTCAAGCACAGTCCTCTGTGTGTGTGTCTGTATATGTGAGTCTGCATGGTGTGCGATGCAGTGTGCGTGTGTGTGTCCTATCATCTCCACATTCACTATCTATAGAATCAAGCCAGCAGGGCTGACTTCTTTGAGGCCCACATATTTCTGCACCTGCTTCTCATAAAAGTTAAAAACATTTGCTTTTCTAAAGGTCACCATTCAGAAAATGAAAATATAAGCCACAGACATAAATGAAATACTTATAAATCATGTAACTGTGTCCAGAATATATAAAGAACTTTTGATAACGATCTAGTGCTTTAATTTTTTAAATGGGCAAAAGATTTGAACCAACTCTTCACTGAGGAGGGCCGATGGGTGGCAAATAAGCCCACGAAAAGATGGTGCGCAGGGACCATTACAACACTAGACCGGCTGTGCCCAGGACGAACGGGAGCCAGGGCGGGGAGGCTGCCGAGATCACACATCGCTGGTGGGGAGTCCAATTAGGTCGCTCTGAGAAGCAGCTTATCATTTTCTTAAAAAGTAGAATCTAGGGGTGTCTGGGTGGCTCCGTCCATTAAGCAGCAGCCTCGGCTCACGTCATGATCTAGGGGTCCTGGGATCGAGTCCCCCATGGTGCTCCCTGCTCAGTGGGGAGTCTGCTGCTCTGTCTCTGCTGCTCCCCTGCTTTTGCTCATTCTCGGTGTCAAATAAAATCTCTCTGAAAAAGTAAAACCCACACTTACCATCGACGTCAGCCGCCCCACCCCCAGTTTCTGACCTAACAGAAGGGAAAACACGGTCCTCGAGTAACGACAGTGCCGTCCCCAGTGCGACACTTCCCGGGACCAGGAGCCTCCGAGGTCCCACCGCTCAGAATTAACTAGTAACCGACTCGAATTCTGTACGAGCGTCCGCTCCTCTGCCGTTTTGTTCACTCTGTGGTTTGTCGCCCGCAGCGAGCAGAGGCGTCGGTCCGCACGCAGGTGAGCCCGCAGGCGCCGGGGCCGACCCACCGGCTGGAAAACTACCTTCCTCGGAGCTCCACGGACGCCCTCCGCGCGCTGGCGGAGTCTCCGCCGTGCTGAGCCGCGCCCTCGGCTGAGCTCCCGCGACCCTCGCTGCGCGTCCGTGCTCCCGAGGGCGGGGCGCTGCGGGTTCACCACCGAGCGAGGGCGCGGCGGCCCAGCTCCCCGGGGAGACCCGCTTCCGGCCGCTCCCCGGGGAGACCCGCTTCCGGCCGCTCCCCGGGGAGACCCGCTTCCGGCCGCTCCGCGACCCCCGCCCGCCGCGCCCCCGCCCCCTGCCGTTCGCTCTCCGTGGCTCTGGACGACTCGTTCCCGCTTTACTTTCCCGCACGAACCCTAGAACCGCTTCGTGCGCTTCCGAGACACGCGGAGGTCGAAGTGGGGCAACCCGAGGCGTTCCCCGGACGGGAGCAGGCACGAGGCCCCGGGGTCTCGGGGTCCCAGCGCGGCGCCCCGAGCCGGAAGTCGGTCTCCCCCGGGGGAGCGGGCCGGAAGTGCCGCCGCGCGCTCCGAGGTGCGCGCGGAAGCCGGTGCGGAGAGGCGCTCGCGTCCCGGAGGGGCGGCGGCCGGGGACCCGCAGAAGTCGGGGTGCGGCGAGCCAGGCAGGGGCTGGGGACCTGCAGTTTCTCGCCGCGCCTCGCGCTGCAGCCGCTGCTGGCGCCCTGCGCAGGGTCTTCCGGGTGGCATTCTCGTGAGTCCCGCACACGCTGATTTGCCTTTATAAGTCGTAACCGTATTGCGCAACTCTTCAAAAGCCCGTTAAAGAAATTCCATGTACCATCCACACGCTTAAGAGGAAAAGAAACGGGTTTTAGGAATAGAAGTTCTTCTGTCATTGGGAGGAACCATATTCCTCGTTTCCGGAACATTTACTTCCCAGCCAGTGTCGTCCTCTCCCGCTGGAGAAGGAGCCAACGTTCCTGCTGCGCGGCCCCTTGCTGCAGAAGTGCCGGGCGGACTTCTGGGCGCCGGGCCGCGTGGAGCAGCGGCCTTTCTCTACCGAAGAAGTGTCCCTAGGGGAACCTGACCTCGAGGATTCCCTGCCCGGACCCCACTGGCCTTATCTTCCGGACAAAGCCTGCTGTCGTGTGTCAGGGAGTCAGTTCCTGGAGATCAAGGAGTGTGTTTAAATCCCTTGACCTGATGCCAATCCAAAATGAAACCTTCACTCAGAGAACGCTAGCGGCGTGACATGATGTTGATCGCTGGTATATTTGGGGGCTTCTAGAACTTTGTGAAGGACTTTCTCAAGTGCTTTTCTCTAATAGTCCTTATCAGATCAATTTATTGGGAGTATTTCTTCTGGATTGTTTATCTGCTATGGAGGTAGGATCGTATGCATAAAGACCTCTCTTGCCTAATTTCTCGGGTGTTCCACTCAGCTAATGTCCATCAAGTGGTTTGTATCAATGTTCTGTTGCTGCATGACGAATATCTACAAATCCAGTGGCTTGAAGCAAGACTCATTATCTCCATGTGTGCATGGATCACGTGCCTGGGCAAGTGTAGTGGGGTCCATGCCTGGTGCCTCTCGAGGCGCCGTCAAGGTTCACCAGGTCAGCTTTCCTTTCTGGAGGGAATGGGGAAGAATTTCTTCTAGGCTGATTCTAAATGCAGATTTGTTGTTTTCCCACAGTTTCCACATTGCCCCTCGGTCTCTAGTTGGTAACAGGGGTCTGCTCTTCTCACACTTCAGATCTCTTGGACTTCCTCCTTTTCCTCATTTCTCTACTTGTAAGGGTTCATGAGATTACACTGGACATACTTGGATAACCAAGGACCATCTCCTGCATTCGTTTTCTAGAGCTGCTGCAACAAAGGAGCCTGGAATGCTGTGGGCTCCAAGGCCCATCCTTTGTCCACTCATAACTCAGCCCTGCTGCCCCCCCAGGCTCATGAACGCAGGGGTCCAGGGTGGGGCACCACAACAAGAGGAGTGACTCTGTGGCCTCTCGCTGGCAAGTGCTTATAGACCTCTACCGGTGGAGCTGCTGCAGGGTTCCTCACATTGTGTAGTCGACCCCAGAGCACACAGACAACCTCCCAAGAGCTGCTGGCTCAGAGGCTTTGCAGATGAGGGTGTCACAATGATGGCGAGTGAATGGCATTGGGCAGCCTCAGGGGCGCTCTCTGAGCTCACTGCCCAATGCAGGGCCCTTCTTTGCTGAGAGGAGTCTCTCCTTCCTTTTGCCTCATCCCTGCAGAGAAGAACACAAGGATCCCCAGCTACTCCAAAAGTGCCCGAGTCCCTGTTCACCACTGCCATCCACCCAGAGGGCTCCCTGATGCTAAAGTTGAGCTCAGAGCCACAGGGCAGGGGTCTGAATCAAGGAGGAGAGCCAAAAGGAGGGTCTCTGGCTTCCCCGGGAATGCGGACAGAAAGTGCTTGGAATGGCTTGTTCGACTGATTTGAAGCATTTGCTTGGTCCCCAGGGGTGCAGCTCGCATGGGAGCAAAGGTGGGGAGGGGAGGAGAAGAAAAAGCCAAGGACAGAAAATGTTCTTAAGTGTGGGGCTTGTATTGTGTGTGTGTGTGTGTGTGTGTGTTTGTGTGTGTGAGAGAGAGAGAGAGAGAGAGAGAAACGCAGTACAAAAATGGGTTTGCTAAAACTGTGCCATCTACTGCGCTTTAATGAAGGTGCTGCTGTCTGCATCTGACAGGCTTTGGAGCACACGGGATGTACATTGATGGATGGATAATCATAGGGTAAAAAAAATATACAGCAAAACTTTAACAGTGGTAGAACCTCGTGTTGAGTATTTGGGCATTCTTGCACAATCCTTTCAACTTTTATAGATCTTTGAAATTTTTCATTGAAAAATGTTAGGGAGTCACTGTAGGAAAGAGACATGGAGTAAGGGGTGGGGGAGCATCTGCTCTTCACAGGATCAGGGCAGCAGGGCCACCTCCTTTTGGATCCACTTTCTACAGCTGTCTGGGAGTTTCTGGTGGGTTTTTTAAAAACAGGATTTGTGACTATGCTGACTTTTGTAGGTCACAGGTGACTTTACATTCTCTGTGGGAGGAGTTCCGTCTCACCACAGTCCCTGCAGGGCATCAGAGGGAGGGCTCCTTGTAATAATTTCGAAGTAGGAAGGTGTTGAAACCCACCTTTAGTAACAGTGATATTGTCAATGAAGTCATTTTCCTTGTTGCTCATCTGCTGGAAGTTTGGAAACACATTTAGTGGAAACTATCACGTGCCCAGCCTCTCTCCCACCCTGGACTCAGCCACTAAGAGGCGACCCTCACTCCAAGCCATGAGCAGATGGCTATAGACTTTTCTTTGCTGCCATTAAAACCAGGATGACCCTCTGTCCCAATTTGCCTGGGACTGTCCCATGTAACACTGGCTTCCAGCCCTGACCATGTGGCTGCCATGGTGACAGCCACTTGCCATTGATCATTATGTTAAATCCCACAAAAGATTCTCCCAGACACAGCTTCCTTATTTCTATTTGGCATCCAACAAGATAGAATCAGGCCAACCTCACCTCCCAGATGCACATAGACATTTAAGACTCGGAGAGCCGATATCTTGTTCTGTCCCACTCCTAGCAGGACAATTTCTTGTCAGCATTCAAGAACATAGAATATCAAATATGCACAATGACTTTTTACTACACAAACGGTAACATAATAGGCTTGGGTCTCTTAAATTTTTCTATACTTAAAACATCCCAAGGTTGAAACATGCCTTCTTAAGAAAGGGAGTTATCATTCTGCTTAGTTGACATTCAAAAAGAAATAGAAAATTTTGAATAGACATATAACAAAGACAACCGTTAATTTAAGTTTCTCATGAAGATCCCAGGTCCTAATAAATTGATAAATTCTACCTGATATTTTAAGAAGAAAATAACAGCAGTCATGCACGGACCCTCAGGACCAGGACCAGAGAAGGAAGCAGCACTTCCCAGTTCTCTGTGGTGTCAGTGAGTGACACCAGTGTCAGACAGTGTCATTCCCAGAGAGGAGGAATAGCATGAGATGGAAGCATTCGTGAATATAGAGGCAAATATCTTTAATGAAGTATTATCAAACCAAATGTAGTTACAGAGAAACAGGATTGTATACCATTACTAATCGAAGTTTATTCCAGGAATGCAAGGCTGGTTTAACATCTGAAAATAAATGAATGTAATAAGCATATTAATAAAACAAAGAACTTTAAACATGTGAGCATATTGGTCAACCAGAAAAATCTATTTGACGTGATAACACATCTATATTTGACAAAAACGATTCCACACCCGGGGGCGTGGGAAATGCCTGTAATCTGGTAAAGAGCGCCTAATGAATCTTGTAACTAATTCACACTTCATTCATTCTGAATATTTTCCCCTTAAGATTGGGACAAAAGCAAGAATGTCCACTTCAAACTTCTATTTGACGTTTCACTGAAGTTCCAGCCAATACAACACAGCAAGAAATATAAATGAAAGACATAGATTTCAAAATGAAACATATTTATTTGCATGGAACATGCTTCTAGCAAATCTGTAAAAAAAAGTCTGGTGGAAATAAGATGATGAGAAAAAAAGAAATAAGATCGCTCCGTAAGGTGGTAGGATACAAAATAGATACAAAAATCTCAATTATATTTCTGTAAACTAGCAATGAAGAATCTGAAAATGATAATAAGAAAACCATTCCATGTGAAATAACATTGAAAATAATAAAAATAAGGTAATAAAACAAGAGCCAAATCTGTATACTTAGAGCTACAAACTATTGAGGGAGATCGAACACAATCTACATAAATGGAAAGATTTAGAATACTCATGGACTGGAGAACAGAACATTATCATGAGAGCAAATTTCCCCTAAACTGACCTACAGATTTACTGTGATCCCTACTGAATTTCTAGCAAGCTTTTTTTAAGGAAATATCAAGCCAATCCTAAAATATATATCGAAATTCAGAGGACTTAGAGTGGCCAAGATAATTTGGAAAAAGAAGCAGCAAATCGGAGGACTCACACAACTTGCCTTAAAAATTTATGACCGGGGATGCCCAAGTGGCTCAGTGGGTTAAAGCCTCTGCCTTCAGCTCAGGTCATGATCCCAGGGTCCTGGGATCAAACCCTGCATCGGGCTCTCTGCTCAGCCGGGAGCCTGCTTCCCCTTCTCTCTCTGCCTGCCTCTCTGCCTACTTGTGATCTCTGTCTGTCAAATAAATAAATAAAATCTTAAAAAAAAACCAGAACATTTTATTAAAAAAAAATCTATGACCAAGCTACAGGAATCAGGACAGTGTGGGACTGGCATGAAGATAGATGTATTAACCAGTGGAACAGAGTAGAAACTCCCAAAATAAAACCTGAGCAGCAGATGTTGAACAGAGGGAGAAGGGCAATTCAATGGAGGGAGAAATGAGAGTATTTTTGATAAACAGTGCTGGAACAACTGGATAACCAGATGCAAAAAAAGAGCACAATACCCTATTTCATAACACACACACACACAACTCAAAATCAGTCATAGACCTGAATTTAAGAGGTAAACTTTAACACTTTAGGAAGAAAACAGAGTAAGCTCTTTGTGACCTTGAGTGAGGCAAAGTTTTCTTTAATAGGATACCAAAACACTACTCAGCAAAAAAATGAAAAATTGGACTTCATAAAAAATAAAGCATTTGCTCTTTGAAAGTCACCAATACAAAAACAGAAAACGTAAGTCACAGGCGGAATAAATATTTGCCAGCCACGTACTTACATCCAGAATATATATAAAGAACTCTCAAAACTGAGTAAGGAAAACAGCCCCATTTTTAAAATTGACATCTAATGCATTATTTGCCCCAGGGGTACAGGTCTGTGAATCGTCAGGCTTACACAATTCACAGCACTCACCATAGCACATAACTTCCCCCATGTCCATCACCCAGCCACCTTGTCCCTAACCCCCTCAGTAACCCTCAGTTTGTTTCCTGCGATTAAGAGTATCTTATGGTTTGTCTCCTCCCCATCCCATCTTGTTTTATTTTTTCCCTCCCTTGCCCCCAAACCTTCTGCCCTGCCTCTCAAATTCCTCATGTCAGAGAGATCATATGATAATTGTCTTTCTCTGATTGACTTATTTCACTCAGTCTAATACCCTCTAGTTCCATCCATGTTGTCGCAAATGGCAAGATTCCATTTCTTTTGATGGCTGCACAGTATTCCATTGTATATATATACACCACATCTTCTTTATCCATTCACTGTGGATGGACATCTTGGCTCTTTCCATAGTTTGGCTATTGTGGACACTGCTGCTAAAAACATTGAGGTGCATGGGTCCCTTGGGATCACTACGTTTGTATCTTTGGGGTAAGTACCCAGTAGTACAATTGCTGGGTCATAAGATAGCTCTATTTTCAACTTAAAAAAATATTTTATTTATTTATTTGAAGGACAGAGATCACAAGTAGGCAGAGAGGCAGGCAGAGAGAGAGGGGGAAGCAGGCTCCCCACTGAGCAGAGAGCCCAATACAGGGCTTGATCCCAGGACCCTGAGATCATGACCTGAACCGAAGGCAGAGGTTTTAACCCACTGAGCCACCGAGGCACCCTATTTTCAACTAAAAAAAAAAAGATTTTATTTATTTATTTGACAGAGAGAGACACACTGAGAGAGGGGACACAAGCAGGGGGAGTGGGAGAGGGAGAAGCAGGCTCTCTGCTGATCAGGGAGCCCATTGAGGGGCTCCATCCTGGGACCCTGGGATCATGACCTGTGCTGAAGGCTGATGCTTAACCACCAGGTACCCCTATTTTCAACTTTTTGAGGAACCTCCATGCTGTTTTCCAGAGTGGCAGCACCAGCTTGCATTCCCACCAACAGGGTAGGAGGGTTCCCCTTTCTCTGCATCCTCACCAGCATCTGTCATTTCCTGACTTGTTAATTTTAGCCATTCTGTCTGGCGTGAGGTGGGACCTCATGGTGGTTTTGATTTGTACTTCCTGATGCCCAGTGATGTGGAGCACTTTCTCATGTGTCTGTTGGCCAACTGGATGTCTTCCTTAAAACAGCCCCACTTTTAAAATGGGGAAGAGATTTTAATACACTCCACCAAACAGGATATATGGGAGGCAAATAAACACCCGAAAAGGAGTTCCACGTCGTTTACCATTCGGAAAATGCGAATCCACACCACAGCCCTGCCAGTTAGCAGGACCCGGTGGGAAAGGCTGACGGCGCTGAGCGCCGGTGGGACGCTGAGAAGCAGAAGCCGAGGGGCAGCAGTTGGAAGACACAAGGGAACCGGAAAGTGATGCCACTTCAGAGAGCAGCTTGGCCGTTTCTTAAGACTTGGACTCTGCTCTTACCGTTTGACCAGCGGTCCCGCTCCCAGGCTCTCACTGAAGAGGACCGCGGCTGCCTGTGCTCACGGGGTGGGTGTGGGAGGAGGGGTGCTGTACCTCTGGGGGACCCCGTCCTAGTCTCTGACACAGGGTCACTCCACACTGACTAAAAACGGACTGGATTTTCTGAAAGAACGTGAGTATCAACAACATCCCCCTTTTGTTCGTTTTCATTCACGCAGCGCACAGACGGCGGCCAGAGCCCGTCCGCACAGAGGTACGTTGTACACTCGCCAGAGTCGTTTGATGTGTGTGAATGTGGGCTGCCTGCTCTTCGTAACTCAAATGACTTTGGAAGGTAATTCATCTCTGATGGGATATTTTTAAATAATGTGTAACATCGTCGCACTCAACACTAACCCGGATTTACCCCCGTGTTCTCCAGTCCGTCCACACCGTTAACTTCTGAACCGACAGGAGGAAGTCAGAGCTCACTGATTGTGTGGGTGAGAGGACACGTGGGGAGTTGAGTCCGAGCCTCCTTAGGACGGCGTAATACCTGGTTTCACGTTGCTCCCGAGAGCCCTGGAGCGCCGCACGCATGCACACATGCACACATGAAATCGCAGAGGCAGAAAGTGGCCCATGGTGAAGGTCACAGTCGAGGCTACTACTCATTGTAGAACACGCACTGTCTGCACACGGGACTGTGCTGCTATGAAAAGTCACTGAGACACAGGAAATGTGCTCCCATTCCAGTGAGTGTCTTAGTTCACAGGGCTGTTGCCCCAAAGGGCCACAAAGTCAGGGGCATAAGCCACCAGACTGTGTGGTCTCACTGTTCTGGGGGCCGGAGCCTGAAATCACGGGGTGGACAGGGTCCGGGGCCTGTCGGGCTCTCTCCTTGGCTTGCGGATGGCGATTTTCTTCTGTCTCTCCACATTTCCTATTTTGTCCCTTTCCAGCAAGAATAATTGAAAATTAGTGCACCAGGATCATAAATTTCCACCTTAAAATTTTTTCAGATTGCCACATTATTGAGTATTTATTTTAGAATATTTGGAACTTATAAATATGCCCAGTGTACAGATGGAAGTCTTTCTTCCCTCTGCCCGCCAGTGTGTGCTGCTGGCATTTTGACTGGTGTATTTCGAGTCTCCCACATAGAGTGTCTCCGTGTGCATCACACACATAACTTTTTCTTTTAAAAAATTATAAACCTGTTGTTTACCTCCTTAGGGGCCTGCTTTAAAATTCTGTGTATTGTGAGGTTTGTCGTGTTAAAAGAAAGCACCCCGAATTCACTGTCCCATCTGGAAGGTGTACCCTGCTTCTCACCACTGGGATCTTCTTGTTTGGACACAGTTTGGCCTCTCTGCCCCGAAAGCTGGGCAACTTGGGGGAGGGGAGCACTAACGTGTCAGGGAGCACAGGTGGCCTTACACACCCCTGGAGGTGGCAAGTGCTAACACCTGGGCAGCCGAAGCATTTCTGGGGTAACTGGGACTTCGTGCTGGGCGGGGCCGGTGGGGGTCTGGGTGTCCCCGCAGCCTTCGGGTCACGCCCACTGCGCAGACCAGAGCCCGCGCCTGCAGACCCCGGCTGTCTACACCTCTTGATGCTCAGAGCTGTGTGTAAGCAGCTGTGGGTGCTGATGGAGTCATAACTCCATAACCGACGTTAATCGCAGGCTCGGGGTCGGGCTTGCCGAAGCTTCACTCTCTGGGGGTAGCCATCGGCCTGTCTCATTCGCACAATTCCTTCTGGGCCACGGGCCTGCCAGAGCACATTCCACAGGCGGCCCCACAGACTGACCAGACGGAGAAATAGAGAGGGGAGGGGGCCACACATTTGAAGCTAAGCTTCCAGAACTGTGCGGGACCTCCATCCCACCGGCCCTCGCTGGGGCCTGTCCTGTAGCCGCCCAGCCAGTGAGCCCGAGTAGGGGCTCCAGACGCCTGTTCCACATCATAGGCCCAGGACAGTGACACTGGGGCCCTGAGTCTCGTGGGACAACAGTCAATGTGTGGCCGCGGTTGCGTTCATGCCGGGAGGTGCTGGAGAGGAATGCACTTGTAGGCTCCTTTGGGACACTGACAGAATTTGTGAGAAGTCACACTGTCCCCTTCAGCCTGCAAGTCATGGTGCCGGGCTGGATGTCTCCAAATCATTCTTCCTCGTGTCTCGGGGGCCCCTCAGCGGGCCCTCCTATGTAGTTCCGCATCCTCCTGGCGTGGTGGTGGAGGTCCAGGACACACAGCACCACCTGCCCGTCCTCGTACAGAGTCCCTGCTGCTGGTGCAGCCCCTCCTCTCAGGGGGCGGGGGTCTCCCAGCGCACAGCAGGCCTGCGGGCTGTGGAAGAAGGGGAAACCACAGTAAGGGGCCCGCGGCATGCTGTGGCCTGCGGCTGTCAGCAGCTGTCTGCCTTCCCTTTCTTGCTGACGTGTGTCTCCCCTTTCTCCTGCCCCATCCCACCAGAGTGACGTCCAAGGAGCTCCTGCTGTCGGATACGCTCTCCCATCAGCTGTCCAGTACCGTGTTCCCAGAGAACTTGTGGCCAACGGTAGGTGAGGGGCGGCCATGCATGAGCCTCAAATACAGGGGGGAGAGCCAACGGTGGGTCTAAGCCTCCGCACAAGAACTGAGGGGAGGGCAGGGTTGGCTGGTTTAAAGTATTTACAGCGTTCTTAGGGATGCAGCTCCGACAGGGACAGTGGTGGGAGGGGAGTATAAGGGAAGTAAGGTGAAGACATAAAAGTTCTAAATTGTGGGGCACGTGTTTGAGTAGAGAAACATGATCGAAACGTGGGTGTGACTGGAACAGAAGCATCACGTGTGCTATGATGAGTGTGGACATCTCCAACCAGCATTTCAGCCAGCTCCTGGCAGACTTCTGGCCTGTCCCCGAGGATCCCAGCAATCCACTTACTCCCACAGCGAGGGCTCCCCTGCTGCTTTCCCAGGTCAATATACGCAGCCCGCTCTGTTCGTTAGTAGCCGGGACTCAGAGTTCCATGTGGGAGATGCTGGAGGCCGGTCTTCAGTGGGGACTGGGTGTGACTGGCCAAGTCTCAGCTTAAACCATGGCCAACACAATGTGGCACGAACCCTCCCCGCCACTCACTCCCATCCAGCCTCCTGCCATACCTGGAGACCATGGTGGCACTCCGTTCCATTCCATTGGCACCCCACCCTACCATCCCTTCTTGGGTGGTGGGTGCCACACAGCTTCTTCTGAGTGGCAGGAAGGACAGTGTTCAAGAAGCAAAGTCACGATGACCAGGCAGGTACTGATAGCATGGCCCACCTAGCTGTAGTGTGTGTCCAGATGAATGTGCTCAAGCCCTCTTCTCCTAATTCTGGCTCTCGAGCTCCCCTCCAGAATGCATGGTAGAGCAGTCTCAGGGACATCTTATCCCCATCCTGTCTCAGGTATCCAGGTCAGCCCTGACCATTCACGGCCACCCTGCTGGACACTTGTCATCCCTCATCACATTTAACCCCTTTGCGGATTATCTGAGACAGACCGTCATTCCCACTTTGATGTCAAAGATTGGATAAGGCTGGGCTCACCTCCTAACTGTGGGCAGAGCTTTGAGACCTCAATAGCTTAAACCCTACCCCCTCACACCCAGGAGGACACTTTCTCTTTGTCATCCAAGAAGTTAAATACCAAATATGCATATAGGGCTTTCTAATACAACAGTAGTGACAGCATGGGCTTGAGTTTCTTAAACATTTGTACACTTAATTCTAAATCTTCCAAAGTTGAAAAATGCATTCTCACTTAAGAAAGGTAGTTCCCTTTCCAGTCAGTTTGTACAGATTAGCAAACCTAAACAAATAAAAATAGAGAATCCCCAGCCCTGGTGGCTACACTGTTGAATTCTAAATTTTTATTCTAATTAAAAAATAACAACAGTTGTACACAAGCTCTCTCAAAAACAGAGGAAGGGAAACCCGTTCTGTGAGGCCAGTTTCAACCTGATACCAAAACAAGACAATGTCTTCACAAAAGAATACAATGAAGCAAGATCCTTCAAGAAAATATAGACAGAAACCATTGAGTAAATATTAGCAAACCAGATCTAGCAACACGGTTAAGTACCATGACTATGTGAAGACCAGTAGATCTTAAACAAAATATTAACAGTGAAGGACAACAATAATATAATGATGTCAATTCAGAAAAAGGAGTTGCCAGTAAGAAACTCTCGTTCGGGAGCACCTGGGTGGCTCAGTCATTAGGTGTCTGCCTTTGGCTCAGGTCATGATCCCAGGGTCTTAGGATCGGCCCTGCATCAGGCTCCCTGCTTGGTGGGAAGTCTGATTCTCCCTCTCCTACTCTCCCTGCTTATGTTCCCTCTCTCTGTGTCTTCTCTGTCAAATAAACAAATAAAAATCTAAAAAAAAAAAAAAAAAGAAAGAAAGAAACTCTCGTTCATGGTAAAAAAAATATTCTCAGCAAATTAGGAATGAAGTGAAAAGATTTTCATTCTGACAATGAACAGCTCTGAAATACAATGCACTTCCTAGAGAAAGACTGAATACTATCCGTCTTATGGCTGGGAACAAGGCAAGGATGTCCACACTCACTACTTTTATCTAACATCGTACTAAAGTTCCAACCAGTGAAATAAAATGAAAAAAGGAATAAAGAATAGAAACTTAAACTGTGTTAATCACAGACAACGTGGTTCTAAAACAAAACAAAGCAAGAAACTACTGGTAATAAAATAGCTTTGTAAGAAGCAGTTGAAGAGCTCTCCAGTAAGCTCTGGGACGTTTATCTTCAGTGTTATTCAGAACACATCTGAAATCCGTTACTGTCCCCACCTGGCTCTAGGAACCTCCATGTGCCTCCAGCCACCTCTACAGCAAATCGTTTCAGCTGCGGTCAAAGTCGAAATTTTTCACTTGCGTTGGTTGACCTAGAAATGTTGTATGTAATTTACCGTTTTCTGGAATGGAAACAGTTGTTAAAAAATAAATCTCTTTTGGGGTGCCTGGGTGGGTCAGTCTGTTAAGCATCTGCCCTCAATTTCGGCTCAGGTCATGATCTCAGCGTTGTCAGATTTAGCCCTGAATCAGGCTCCTCACTGGGTGTGCAGCCTGATTAAGATTCTCTCTCTCCCTCTCCCTTTGCCCTCCTCTCTCTCGTTCTCTCTCTCCCGCTCCAAAAAATCTCTTTTGACTTTGTCTTATTAAAAAAAAATAGCAAGTTCAATGATAGTTCTATATTTGGCAAAAATTAAATTGAAGGCAATATTAAGTATTCCATTAACAGTGACATTAAAAATAATAAATTTAACAAAACTGGAGTAAAAAATCCAAGAGGGTCTATTTTTTAAAAAGGAAACCAACATGTTGATCATGAAATGTGTATGGAAATTCAGAGGACCTGCAGTAGCCAGAACAATGTTGAAAAGAGAACAAAATTACAAGAATTGTACAACACTGACTTCAAAATTACTAAAAACCTACAGGAATCAGGACAGTGTAGTACTAGCATAAGGATAGACAAGTCAGTGGAATAGAATAAAAATTCTAGAAATAAGCCTTTACGTTTATGGTCAATTGATTTTAAACAAAGGTGCCAAGACAATTCATTAGGGAGAAATGATACTTTCAACAGATGGTATTGAAACAACTGGATAGCCATCTTGAAATAAAAATAACTTAATACCATACTTCAACTACATAAGTAACTCAAAACTGATCATACACTTGAATTTAGGAGGTAAAACTTTAAAACTTCTAGAAGAAATGATAAATTGTGATTTTATGTTAGGCAAAGTTTTCTTTGATATGATACAAAAAGCACTATCTACTAAAGAAAAATATGGTATATGTAATTATTGTGAAATGTCAAATTAACACATCATCGTCTCACATAGTTACCTTTCCTGTAGGTATGTGTGAGAATGCTTAAGATCTACTCTCTTAGCAAATTTGATGTGCAGTTGCCATGATGTACATGATGATAGGTTTATTTTTAAAAGTCTTCCTTTGGGTAAATCTGTTAATGAGCTTTGACCCAGGAATTGTGTTCCTGATAATGCAGCCTTCCTGGATTCAACCTGGCTCTGCCTGTAACCTTAAGCAGGGAACCTAATTTGTCTGTGCTGGTTTCCTCCTCTAAAGGAGACAACAAAATTATCTCCCTATAAGGATTTTGTAAGGATTAAATGAAGATAATTTAGGAACCACTCAGTTGTTTAATATTATTACCTGAAGGAGTCAATTATAAATGTGGGCAAAGCAGACCAGACGGACATCACAGATATATTCAGAACATTCCATCCCAAAGCAACAGAACACACCTTCTTCTCTAGCACACATGGAACATTCTCCAGAACAGGTCACATCTTGGGTCACAAATCAAGTCTCAACTGGTACCAAAAGACTGGAATCATTCCCTGAATATTTTTGGACCACAATGCTTTGAAACTTGAACTTAATCACAAGAGGAAAATTGGAAAGAACCCAAATACATGGAGGCTAAAGAGCCTCCTACTAAGGAATGAATGGGTCAACCAGGAAATTAAAGAAGAATTGAAAAAATTCATGAGAACAAATGTTAATGAAAACACAATGGTTCAAAATCTTTGGGACACAGTAAAGGCGGTCATGAGAGGAAAGTATATAGTGATACAAGCCTTTCTCAAGAAACAAGAAAGGTCTCAAGTACACAACCTAACCCTACACCTAAAGGAGCTGGAGAAAGGACACCAAAGAAAGCCTAAACCCAGTAAGAGAAGAGAAATCATAAAGATGAGAGCAGAAATCAATGAAATAGAAACCAAAAAAACAGTAGAACAAATCAATGAAACTAGGAGCTGGTTCTTTGAAAGAATTAATAAGGTTGATAAACCCCTGGCCAGACTTATCCAAAAGAAAAGAGAAAGGATCCAAATTAATAAAATCATGAATGAAAGAGGAGAGATTGAACCAACATCAAAGAATTACAAACAATTATAAGAACATAAAAGAAACTATATGCCAACAAACTAGACAATTTGGAAGAAATGGATACATTCCTAGAAACGTATAAACTGAACCAGGAAGAAATAGAAAACTGAACAGATCCAGCAAGGAAATTGAAGCAGTAATGAAAAATCTCCCAAAAAACAAGAACCCAGGCCAGATGGCTTCCCAGGGGAATTCTACCAAACATTTAAAGAAGAATTAATACCTATTCTTCTGAAATTGTTCCAAAAAATAGAAATGGGAGGAAAACTTCCAAACTCATTTTATGAGTCCAGCATTACCTTGATCCCAAAAGCAGACAAAGATCCCATCAAAAACAAGAATTACAGACCAATATCCCTGATGAACATGGATGCAAACATCCTCACCAAAACACTAGCCAATAGGATCCAACAGTACATTAAAAGGATTATTCACCACGACCAAGTGGGATTTATTCCAGGGCTGAAAGCTTGGTTCAACATCCACAAATCAATGAGATACAACACATTAATAAAAGAAAGAACAAGAACCATGTGATACTCTCAATAGATGCAGAAAAGCACCTGACAAAGTACAGCCTCCTTTCTTGAT